TGCCTGAAAATACTGATCAGTGTCTTAATGACAGAGAATGAGCCTGAGGAGGTGTAACTGTGCAGGTCATTTAAAACAATCTTTTCAGTGTTTTATTGTTCAAATGTATTTGAAGCCAAGCGCTCTCATCCTTTGAAGTTCCCAAAGAATCACAAGAACTGCTCAAGGAGATTTAGTTAAATATGATTTTGGTCTTTGGGATGAAGTTGCCCTTTGATTCACTGGATGACATAATATCACAAACTGGTGACTTCAGCACGGACATGTCTGTGTGTCTCGTTCTCAGCCCGTCTCTGAGGTCATCTGAAGTTGAACACAGACGGGTCTTGCTCTGATGAAGGATCCTGATTGCAGAATAATTTCTGCCATTCTGTTTCTGTAAAAGTGTAATTGTTGGCTGTGGACAGATCGTTTCACTGCAGCTGTTGGAAGGACAGATACACTGAGTATGTGAGAGTTAGTCAGAGCAGCTGGATGTACACATGATGAATGATCTCACAAAACATGTCACATTTCACCTTAAAAAAATGAATGATCATTTTTAAGACAATTAAAAGTCATATTTTCTTCTCATATTCTCCCTAAAATCATTCTTTCGTGTTCTTTATTTAAATCAGCATAACTTAAAGGCAGTACAACAAATAAGTCCTACTACCATGATGCATAAATACTTATTAAAATGCAATGTAAATAATATACAGTATATTTAGCACTGTTTTGCTGCTACAACAAGGATAACTGTGTTTAATTGTCTTTAAAATAATGGCACAGTGGATAAACAAAAAATAAGTACTCTAGATTTATGACAAATATAATTTTTTAAGGCAAGACTCTATAAACAAAACCACTGGTCAATTTTGAGATTTGGGGCTTTTTGGCTTTTCATAATGTGTAGTTTCAGACTTGTGGAATGTAAACATCCAAAATACACTTTTAAGTGTTTATTTCAATTATAATAAATATCTTTAAAGGCCGTTTCTCAATATGATGTTTTTTTCTCCCACACTGACTAAGCATTGCTTACATACACCAAACATTACACTTTTATTCCTTTTTTTTCTCTTATTTTATGCAACATTTTATTCCTAATCAAACCTGGTGAAAATGTATTTTTGGAGTTACGGAGTTATGGAGGGATACAAAGAGATATCAAAAATCCTCTCGGTGAAAACCTGTATCTGTAATACAGTATGTCAACAAAATGAAACAAGAATTTTGAACCTGGCTTCATCCAGTTTTTAGATTTTTCTTAGAATTATGCAAATTTTTGAAATGCATGCATATTTAATTAGATAATACCTCATTTGCATATTTAAACTCGATTTTTACAAAACTTGTAATACAAAAAATTTGTGCAATTCTTGAATCAATTATTAGTTTTTGTTTTTTTAAGTATTAGTTAAATCTATCAGTACATTTTTCACCCTATTGTGTCTTGCCTTACTTTGTTTTATTTTATTTTGGTGTGAAATATGACAGGTCCAGTGAGATTCACTCACTTAGACCCAACAGCCTGATAACTGTCTGGATAGTAATATCTGTGTAATATCTCGATCTGCTCCTGTCTTCAGTGGAGGACCCGTGTGCAGAGCGTAACGGTGGCTGTTCTCAGGAGTGCCTCAGGGATCGAGATCAGGCCCGCTGTGAATGTCGTTCAGGTTATCAGCTGGCTGAAGATGCCAAGACCTGTGAAGGTAACTTAGATTAAGTGTAGATTGTAGAGTTTGTGTCACATGCTTATAGAACAGAAAGATGATATTACATTACTGCTGCATTGGTCACATTCACGTCTTCATAGTGGTCATGCTTGTGTTTACGCTGTGTTTTCTGTGCGTCAGACATCGACGAGTGCCAGACGGGCCAGGCGGACTGCGCTCATGGATGCCGTAACACTAGAGGATCTTTTGTGTGTGTTTGTCCCGCTGCCTATGAGCTGGGTGTGGATGGCAAGCAGTGTTATCGTGAGTATGATCTGAGCCTGTCAGAAAACAGGTCCATCAAACCATTTGTTTCTCTCTGTAGCCTCATTCTCTCATTTGTTTATGTAATTGCAACACACAACATCTCTCACATATGTGGTAAAAATTAGAAAAAGTCCATCAAATCACTTGTTTCTCTCTGTAGCCTCTTTCAGATGTGGTTGGCTCTTTAATGAATAGAATAGAATAGAATAGAATGGCTCAAAAATGCATAGAGAATAGGTATGAAATATATGTAATCGGATAGAAAAGTACAGAATAGAATATAATACATATAAAATACAGAATAGAATGGGTATGAAGTATATAATGTTCCTGTAGCTAACTATATATTTACGCATACAATGTAAATGTACATCTAAATATGTAAATTTGTAATAGGACAGACAAAACAAAATATACTACATTATACATTTAAAATATAGCGGCTCTGAAATGCAAATGGCATATAATTTTTTTTTAATTATTCCTATTATATATTTTTATTTATCTCAATATTTATATGCTCATTTTTTATTTATATAATATATTTTTTATATATGATAGTAAAAAAAAATATATATATATAATATGTGCTAGTTTATTTACTTCATATACAGGTGAAACTCGAAAAATTAGAATATCGTGCAAAAGCTAATTTATTTCAGTAATTCAACTTAAAAGATTAAACTAATATATTATATAGACTCATTACATGCAAAGTGAGATATTTCAAGCCTTTATTTGTTATTGCTTGATGATTATGGCTTACAGCTTATGAAAACCTTTTCACAATATTCTAATTTTGAATTTGGGGTTTTCATAAGCTGTGAGCCATAATCATCAAAATTATAACAAATAAAGGCTTGAAATATCTCACTTTGCATGTAATGAGTCTATATAATATATTAGTTTCACCTTTTAAGTTGAATTACTGAAATAAATGAACTTTTGCACGATATTCTAATTTTTCGAGTTTCACCTGTATATATATATATGACTTAAACATGCTTTTAAACATGTCTGTCTGAATCTCGGTCTGTTTTTGTCTCTTAGGTATCGAGATGGAGATCATAAACAGCTGTGATCATAATAACGGTGGTTGTTCTCATCACTGTGAACATTCATCCACTGGACCCGTGTGCAGCTGTAACCAAGGACATCATCTGGACGACGACCACAAGACCTGCATCGGTACGCTACCCAGTTTTATAAATTTTAAATTTTTATGTTGTGTGATATGTTTTATATATTGTATGTGTTTTAATGATGCACCCTACTAGAGTGGCTCTATAATTTCATTGTATTTAAATGCAATGACAATAAAGGCATTCACTCATTCATTACTGCACAAGCATGGTAATCCTTTAAGGTAAAGGTGTGTGTTCTGTCTGTCAGATATAAACGAGTGTGCAGACGGCAGCTCGTGTTGTGAGCACGACTGCACAAACTATGCTGGAGGTTATGAGTGTTACTGTACAGCCGGATATCGTCTGAACGCTGATGGATGCAGCTGTGACGGTACGACACTCGAACATTTACAGAGATTTACAGTGATTTCACCTTACAAATATCCACGCCAGTGCTTAAAGTGTGTAAATATCAGACATATGTTGACTGAATGGTCTGATCACAGATATAGATGAGTGTTTGGCTGCTAGCGGAGGATGTGATCACACGTGTCAGAATAACGCCGGCTCCTTCCAGTGTTTCTGTAGACGCGGCTATCGTCTCGATGAAGACCGACGCTCCTGTATATGTGAGTTTTCAGTCTGTCACGAACTGGGTTTCTTTTCATAATTTCAAATATATTTCCAATGCAGAGCAATAAACAATTTGTGAGCTAATTGAAGTAACCTAATGCACAGAAACCTACGGAAGCGCTGAACCGCAACGTAAAAAAAAAAAAAAAAAAAAAAGAGATTAAAGTCGAAACATTTCGAGATTAAAGTCGAAACATTTCGAGATTAAAGTCGAAATATTTCGAGACTACGAGAATACAGTCTTCCGTAGAAGTTGCGTGTGTGCTTGCCATTGTTTCACATTGCCGCACACACAGGCATTCATAATGGTGCATAGCGAGTGTTTCACACTGTGTGTGTGTGTGTGTGTGTTAGTGTGTGTGTTTTGTTTCAACAAAAGGAAATTCAACAGGTGCCAATCTACCAGCATTAGGCTACTACCAGCATATAGGACGTTATAAAATATACTGCGCCGGAATAGACTTTAGCCTATAGGAAAACCAACCCGGAAAACACTTTTCAGACTGGATGGAGATATCCAGCTTTATGAATGAATGAATGAATGAATGAGGCATTTATATAGCGCTTCGACTTTAATCTCGAAATGTTTCGACTTTAATCTCGAAATGCTAGTTTTTTTTTTTACAGATTTTTTTTTTTTTTACGTTGCGTTTTCGACTTTAATCTCAAAATATTTCGACTTTGATCTCGAAATGCTAGTTTTTTTTTTTAGGTTTTTTTTTTTTTTTTTTTTTTTTTTTTACAATTTAAAAAAAAAAATTACGTTGCGGTTCAGGGCTTCCGTAGAAACCCGCTTGTGTAAGAAAAAAGGATTTTAAAGAAGACATGCTTCAAAAAGAGTCATTCTTGTTTTAGAGATTTTAAGATGGAGAGATTTTATGTATTTATAATCATTTTTATTATATTTATATATTATAATTATTTATATATTATTTTATAGATATAATAGTTCTCAGAACCTATATTATATTATATTATATTATATTATATTATATTATATTATATTATATTATATTATATTATATTATATTATATTATATTTAAGCCTGTTAAGTGATTGCAGTTTTTATTCTAATTAATTACATGATGTGCCAATTAATTTATAAAATGAATCACACATTAATCGCACATCAATTTTGGCTTAGAAATGATCATTTAGTCATTATTGTGTTAGGTGAGAAAAGCATTGAATAGACATTATAAAAAGTAGCTTTCGAAAGAAATATTTTGATTCAACAGAATTTATTACACATAAACATTTAATTAACTAATTATAAATAAGCAGTAATTAGAAGTTTATTGAGGCAAAAGTCGTAGTTATTAATCAGAATTGGAGCCTAATCTAAAATGTGACCATTTAAGTATAGTTTATGCGATGTAATTTTATTTAGATCCATATACAGTGCATTTAAAGGAATCTAATTAACCTGGATGTTTGCATTTATGTGTGTGTGTGTGTGTGTCAGTGCTGCAGGAGTCCGTGGAGGCGTTGAGCAGTGGTGTGGAGAAACCCCGACCTCATCTCACTATCCTTCAGGAATATGATCAGATCCTGGAGCGATACGACGACTATGAGGACGACACGGGAGAACTGCGCGCTGAGAACACTTTAACTGAGAAATTCAGTACGAAAAACGAGTCATTCTGTTCTGTACCATTGCTGTGATTTAAATATTGTACAAAAATCATAATGCAAATTATTATTTTTTAATGCATGCATCTTTTCCTCCTGTGTGCGCAGTTTGTTTGAACGGCTCGTTCGGCTTCGACTGCAGTCTGTCGTGTGAGGATTGTGCTAACAGAGGAGTGTGTAACAAACACACAAACGGCTGTGACTGTCCTGACGGATGGACGGGGATCGTTTGCAATGAGAGTGAGTTTCTCCGAAAGAGCCCCAACACTAACATAATTATCAGTAATCATTTTTAAGATTGCATAATTTCTTGGAGAGCGATGATGATCATTTAGGTGTCTAAATGTATTACAATCTTTTAGACGTAAACAATGGATAATGCATGGAATGATTGACGACATCACAACGCTGGAGTCAATTATTCTGCTTATACTACAGTTATCACACCTCTAACATTGTCCAGATATTGTATTTCAAGACATTTGTCAGGGTTTTTGTTCTCAAAACGACTAATTTCTCATCCCACACCTCCATGAGCTAGATACAGAGGCTTGAGCCACTGATAGCAGAGAGAGAGAGAGAGAGAGAGAGAGAGAGAGAGAGAGATTAAGTGTGTGAATTACCCGAGTCTGTGCATCTCTCAACAGTGTTCAGCATCAGCGTCTCTGCGAATAGCACAACTGTAAGTTGATCTGCTTCAAGAACAGCGCTGTTATTATCTCACTAGTGAGAAATGTCATGTAGCTTTTAAGTTTCTGAACTATTTAACTGACAACGGCACTGACAACACGTTTGTGTGTGTGTTTGAGTGGGAGAGAGAGCGAGAGAAAGAGAGTATGTGCTTTTCGTACATAATAAAACGTAATTTTGTGGCATAAAACATGGAAATAATTTGTTGTTTTCATCCTATTGTTTACCATATTTATTTACTTGGTCAGTGTTGTTGTGGGTTTTGGTTCTTTTGCTGTTGTCTGCCTTTGAAATAACAGAAATCATTTGGTGAAGTGATATGAAACTGTAATGCGGTCGAGACCTGCTGGAACTACTTTTTTCCCCCTGAAAATAATTGCACACCTTCGAACATTCGTCAACCAATCAGATTCAAGCATTCAACAGTCTTATAGTATAAACATCAGTAAATCTCGGATTTAATGCTTTTGGAGACAAAAAGTGCTGAAGCATGTCTATCATAAAACAGAGATCGTATATTGATGCTAAACCCACAGACCTTTGAAAAGATGTTTCATTTTCAAAGGAGAGTCCTCAAGGCCGATCATAAATATGTCATTAAAGATGAAAGAAAACGCAATACATTTGAGAGAAATGGACGGTTCTGCATGAATTAACATCGATAGAAAAAACAAATTTCACAGGCAGAGAATAAATGATTTTTTATCAGATGATGAAAAGACACAATAAACCAGTGATCATTAAAACATCTCACTGTCTTACTGTTCTGCACGCCTTTCAAAGGTCATGACCTTTCTCTCCCTGTGTGTGTGTTATCCAGCGTGTGCGGAGGGCTGGTTCGGCAGGAATTGCTCGTTGAGCTGTAAGTGTAAGAACGGTGGTGTGTGTGATCCGGTCACGGGGAGCTGCCGCTGTCCACCAGGGGTCAGTGGAGAGCTGTGTCAGGACGGTCAGTTCAGTATCATGTATAACATATTCAATATTGTGTGTGCACCATGTCATGTTTATAGAGTTTATTTGATGCACTCAATCCAGGTTGTCCTAAGGGTCTCTATGGGAAGTTCTGTAATAAGAAGTGTAACTGTGCTAATAATGGACGGTGTCATCGCACTTATGGAGCGTGTCTGTGTGACCCGGGACTGTACGGAAGGTTCTGCCATCTATGTGAGTCGGAATTGACTCTTTTAACTACACTTTGCTTTTAAAACAACTCCATTTATGCTGTGCTGTGCTTTAAATGTGGATTAAATTCAACACTAACACATACCTTATGAGTGTGACTTTCTTTATAAAAACTTGTGCTCTTTGTTTCTTCCGTGTTCATGCAGCATGTCCGAAGTGGATGTTCGGTCCAGGCTGTTCTGAAGAGTGTGTGTGTGTCCAGAAGAACACTGTAGAGTGTAACCGTCATCACGGTGCCTGCGTCTGCAAGCCCGGGTATCGGGGCGAGAGCTGTGGAGACGGTGCGTCTGACGAGCGGCTCAAGTGTATTGATACAAGATTGCACTGTATTGAACAATTTACATCGAAATGCTTTATGAAATACCATGAAATTAACTAGAAAACGTGCAAATAAAAGTTAAATAAATGTACTTTTTTTTTTTTTTTTTGCATTGAAATGCTTTAAAGAAATACAAGAAAAAGAATTGGAAAATATGCAATCCAAATTATTTATTTTTTTGCCTTGAAATGCTTGAAAAAAATACAAGGAAAATAATTGGAAAACTTGCAATCTAAAATAAATAAATAGAAAAAAATGTAATGGATTTGTTAAAACAAAGCATTTAAATATAGTTTTTGCATTGAAATAGTTTTAAAAAATACAAGGAAAATAATTGGAAAACAATCTAAAAACAGTGAAAAGAAAAGAATAGAAATTAAATGAAAAGAGAATGGATATGTTAAAACATTGCATTTTAATATTTTGTAAAAATTTTATTTTGCATTGAAATGTTTTGAATCGGAAAACATGCAATCCTAAAATAAAATAATAATAATAATACATTTTTTTTTTTTCATTTTTAATTTGCATTGAAATGTGTTAAAGAAATACCAGGAAAAGAGTTGGAAAAAAATAAAGAAAAAAGAAAATGGATATGTTAAAACATTGCATTTTAACATTGTTTTACATTTTTAATTTGCATTGAAAAAAGTTTTAAAAAGATGGCAGTATATGATATGATACGATAAGATCAATATTGATAGTTTTTCCCTGTAGAGTGTGAATCAGGCTTCTTTGGCTCTGGCTGCGAGAGGAAATGCTCCTGTCCGGATGGAGTGACCTGTGATCATGTGACTGGAGCCTGTCAACCGCAGTGTCCCGCTGGAAAGAGAGGAGACGAATGTGACCAAGGTATGTTCAGTCAAATTACAGGTGTATAATATGCCTGTACTGTATGCCAATTAAGGCACACTGCAATAAAACTGAATTTGGAAATTGAATGTGATGCAAGACTTTGATTAGTGTTTCCTTTCCTGTGATAGATTGTGTTGATGGAAGATTTGGGATTGGCTGCTCTCAGTCATGTGACTGTTCAGGGGCATCATGTGACAGGATCACTGGCCAATGCATGTGTCCTGCTGGAACGTTTGGAAACCGTTGTGAAAAAGGTGACCTTTTCTATTGTTTTTACATCTGTAAGCGAGACCTTTAGCTTATGATAGAAGTATTCATAGTATTTTGAAAACAAGCTGCATTAGTGGCTTATAGACACAAAATGATCATTTATGAAAATCATGCAAGTTTGCATGATATTTTTTAATCCTTGTATTATGTTAAATTCTGGGTACGATCATTATGTTTCAGGTCAAATTGACCCTAGTTTGGATCAGTACATTTCACCAAACACACACGCACACACACACACACACACACACACAAAATTCAGGTAAAAACAGTAAACATTAATTAACATTATAACTTCTCAAACATTACCAAAAGGTTCAGACTATACAGTATATGAGAATATACGATTTTTATAGATTTTTGACAAAAAACAAACAAACAATAATAATATATGTATAATTTTTTAATTGTTTATATTTAAATAGTATTTAAATTTAATAATATTTAAATATACTATATTTTATATTGCTTTCCTGAAGCTCATATAGTAGTGCATGGCGCTAGTGATGCCAAGATCACGGGTTCGACTCAATTAACGTGTGAACTGATATAAATGTACAGCATCAATGAAATGTAATTTTATTTCGATAAAAGCATCTGCCAAATGCATAAATGTAAATACCCTGACATAACAAAAAACATGCATTTTTGAATAATGTTGTGTCTGTGCAGCTGCCTTCAACCATGAAACTTGAGGGTCGCCAACATCACAGTCTTCATATAAATTTAGTACGCAAAATTTCACAACACCTCACTGTGAGGAAAGCTCATGAGTATGGAAGCTTGTTTCCGCCACTGAATAAAAAAATAAAATAATAATTGCGACTTTTTATCTCACAATTGCGAGATATGAAGTCAGAATTGTGAGAAATAAAGTCGCAATTGCAAAATATAAAGTCGCAATTCTGATAAATAAAGTCGCAATTGCGAGATATAAAGTCGCAATTATGAGAAATAAAGTCGCAATTGTGAGATATAAAGGCGCAATTCTGATAAATAAAGTCGCAATTGCGAGATATAAAGTCGCAATTCTGAGAAATAAAGTCGCAATTGCGAGATATAAAGTCGCAATTCTGATAAATAAAGTCGCAATTGCGAGATATAAAGTCGCAATTATGAGAAATAGTCGCAATTGCGAGATATAAAGTCGCAATTATGAGAAATAAAGTCGCAATTGCGAGATATAAAGTCGCAAATCTGAGAAATAAAGTCGCAATTGCGAGATATAAATTCACAATTTTAAGAAATAAAGTCGCAATTGTGAGATATAAAGTCGCAATTCTGAGAAATAAAGTCGCAATTGCGAGATATGAAGTCGCAATTCTGATAAATAGTCGCAATTGCGAGATATAAAGTCGCAATTATGAGAAATAAAGTCGCAATTGCAAGATATAAAGTCGCAATTATGAGAAATAAAGTCGCAATTGCGAGATATAAAGTCGCAATTATGAGAAATAAAGTCGCAATTGCGAGATATAAAGTCGCAATTCTGATAAATAGTCGCAATTGCGAGATATAAAGTCGCAATTATGAGAAATAAAGTCGCAATTGCAAGATATAAAGTCGCAATTATGAGAAATAAAGTCGCAATTGCGAGATATAAAGTCGCAATTCTGAGAAATAAAGTCGCAATTGCGAGATATAAAGTCGCAATTCTGATAAATAAAGTCGCAATTGCGAGATATAAAGTCGCAAATCTGAGAAATAAAGTCGCAATTGCGAGAAAAAAAGACAGAATTGAGACTTTTTATCTCACAATTGCGAGTTTATTTCTCATAATTGCGACTTTATATCTCGCAATTCTGACTTTATAACACATAATTGCAAGTTTATATCTCGAAATTCTGACATCTTTTCTCAGAATTGAGATATAAACTCGCAATTGTGAGTTATCAGGCCAATTCTAAGGGAAAAAGAGACTGACTTTTTTTCCCCTCAGAATAGTTTATATCTCACAATTCTGACTTTACAACACGCAATTGCGACTTTATATCACGCAATTCTGACTTTATATCTCGCAATTGTAAGATAAAAAGTCGCAATTACCTTTTTTATTTTTGATTCTGTGGCGGAAACAAGCTTCCGTACATGAGCCTCAATGAGAAAGTCACACATTTTCATGATCTCCATTATTTCCCACTGCTAGAAAATCTTGCTGGTCAAAATGATATAATTATCTGAATAAACACCGTATGTTTCTGCATCAGAGTGTGTGGAGGGTCTCTGGGGTGTTGGATGTCAGGAAACGTGTGTGTCCTGTGAGAACGGGGGCCGCTGTGACCGGCGTGATGGCACGTGTGTGTGCGCTCCGGGATTCATCGGCAGATCGTGTCAGAACAGTGAGTGAATCTGTCGGGATCTCTGTGTGTGTTCTCCTGTATCTGGTGTTTTCAATCTCTCTGTGTTTAGTGTGTCCCGCGGGCCGTTTCGGTGTGGGCTGTCAGCTCAGATGTGTGTGTGATAATGGAGGACGTTGTGATCCTGTAACGGGACGCTGCTCATGTCCTCCCGGCTGGACGGGCCACAGCTGCAGGAAGGGCAAGTTTCATGTTTTTTATTATTATGTAATTCTAAAAAGCAAATGAAATGTCATTATTTTGATGGTGAGATACTGTGTGTGTTGTAGCCTGTGACACGGGCCGCTGGGGTCTGGACTGTGTGAGTGTGTGTGAGTGTGGAAACAGTGACGGAGGGTGTGACGCTCAGACCGGACGCTGTCAGTGTGAGGCGGGTTTCACCGGACCACGATGTGACCAGAGTGAGTGTCACATATACACACTTTACTTCAACCACACACACATGCAGTGTGCTAAAGACACATGTCAAAGTATGCGGTGTCCTAACAATATTAATATTATTTCATTGTTCCATTATTTTGAGTATTTAAAGAGATAGTTCACCCAGAAAATTCTGTCATCATTTACTCACCCTGCTTTATCTCAATAAAATGGATAAAAATAAGATGGATCATCATTTTAGGTTAAAATATATACGAATATAATATATACGGTATCTAAGATCCTGTAACATTTTTGACTTCACTTACTTACTTTTAATAGTTTTGCGTATTGACAAAATAATTTATAAATGTACAGATATTCCATTATATGTGCCATGTATAATAATTATTTAAAAAAATTAGATGGAGATATGATATATATGATAAATATGAATTATTTTTCCTTGTGGAGTGGGACTATTTTAGATTTGACAGTCCTTCTATATTGAATGCATATCTATATCTGTTATAAATGTTACAGTATTTATCACGTGATCTATGTCGTACATCTATCCCAGAATGCCCTGCTGGTTCATTTGGGCCGGGCTGCAAGCATCGCTGCCAGTGTGAAAACCAGGCATCATGTGACCATGTGGGTGGAGCTTGTACCTGTAAGATTGGCTGGACTGGAACGTTCTGTGAAAAACGTACAGTATGATTGTTCAACTTAACACGTTATGGGATACTGATGATCAGATTTTTGACTGAATGCTTGTGTGTGTGTGTGTGTTCAGCTTGTCCGCAGGGTTTCTATGGTCTGGATTGTCAGCAGAAGTGTGTGTGTATGAACGGGGGTCTCTGTGATCATGTGCATGGTGAATGTTCCTGCCGGCCTGGCTGGATCGGTCCACACTGTAACCAAAGTGAGCTTTTGTAGCATTTTTTCATCACTTCTATCTTCATGTACCTTTAAGACTTCTGTGTGGAAAAGATGTGTGACGATTGGCTAACTTCTTCACTTGTGAAATTGATAAGGCCTTGTCAAACAAATTGCTCATCTGTGCAAAACCCTGCGTGATTATATATTCTTCTTTTATGAGCACTTCTGTCCCAGTGTTCCCACGAGTGATGTTTGTTGTGGTCTGGTCTGCAGCGTGTCCTGCGGGATCGTACGGAGCGAGCTGTTCTCAGACGTGTGTGTGTCACAATAACAGCAGCTGTGATGCTGTGCGCGGTCAGTGTGTGTGCAGCGCGGGGTGGACGGGAGACTCCTGCTCACAGCGTAAGATTCGGACTCTCATTCATTAAACAACTGTACTAGCCGACTATATACGTGTACAATGCTGAAGTACATATACACAGGTCAGTCATGAAACTCTTCTGACAGCTGATTGGTTCTCTTAAAGCTGACGTTTTTGGCCAATTTATTTTCATGTGCATTTTTAAGCAGTTTTCTTAGTTTTAAGTCTATGTACATTCTATGGTTATCGATAAATGCTGAGAGTTGTCATGATTGAAATATATTTAATTTTTTTTTAAAAAGAAGTCTCTTCTGCTCACTAAGGCTGCATTTGTCTGATCAAAAATACAGTAATATTGTGAAATATTATAAAAATTCAAAAGAGCAATTTTTTATTAGAATATATTTTAAACTGTAATTTATTCCTGTGATCAAAGCTGAATTTCCAGCATCATTACTCCAGTCTTCAGTGTCACATGATCCTCCAGAAATCACTCTAATATGATGATCTGATGCTCAAGAAACATTAATGTTTATTCTCAGCTGAAAACAGTTGAATACCTGTGATATACATACTTTACAGGATATTTTGATTTATAGAAAGTTTGAAAGAACAGCATTTAGTTGAAATAGAAATATTTTGCAACATTATAAATGTCTTTACCAACACATTTGAACAATTTAATGCATTGAAGTAATGCATTTAATGCATTAAGGAATTTCCCCTTAATTCCTAAGGGGAAATTTAGGTTTTGCAATACACTGAAATAATAACATAAAAATATGAAACTATGCACCTAGAAGTAATTAAGCATATTCATTTGCATAAAAAGTAAGCAGTAAGCAACACTCATAATGCTCACTGATCACAACAATATGGACATCCTAACGTTTAAATAGGCCCGTGTTTTTCACTTCATGATGAATCATGTTTCTTCGAGTGTGAGTTGTTAGATGGTGTGTTAGCTCAAGTGTTGGGTTGCTGTTTTTGCAGGATGTTCTCCAGGTTTCTTCGGTTTGGGCTGTTCTGAGATGTGTGTGTGTGAGAACGGGGGCTTGTGTGACCCTGCGAGCGGCCGATGCTTCTGTCCCAGCGGCTGGACGGGATCCGCCTGTCAACTGGGTCAGTGACTCTGATCTTTACGCTTCACTTTCTGTATTTACTCTGAGGGGAAACACCTGGAATATTCAGATTTGATACTAGTAAATACTCAATGCAATATGTAATCCACTGTAATTGAGTGTATGAAGTGCAGCGTGCTGAAGACACAATACTTTTACTGGAGAGGAAACCAGTATTGCCAGTGTGGAAGCTCTGGTTTTGTTTTTACGACTGGAAATGATCAGGATATATCATCTGCAACTTTTTGACGTTGCGTTTTGATAGGTTTGGATGTTCAGCTCCAGTAAGGGCTCTCACACGCTGACCGGCACTGGTCAGTGTAAGTTCGGGAGGGAAAAGAGCTGCCGATTTCCAGGCATTACATCATATATTTAGTGTCGAGGTCTTTCAGTGTTTGTTAGGTCGTCACTGCAGACACGCTCGTCTCGTGTGAGATCTTGGTTTCTTCTCCTCACGCCTCATCATAAGTCTGGCCGTTTCCTCATGTTTGGAAGAGCAGATGGACACAGCGAACTCTTACTCTCACATGCGGGGTCATTTCTCCTCAGTGCTGAAGTCACAATGTGTGTTATGCAGATGTTTCATGTGAAGTCACGAGTCACGACACAAGGCATGATGTTTCCCTGTGGTCCCAGAATGCCCAGCGGGTCGGTTCGGGTCAGACTGTCAGGACAGATGTGAGTGTGAGAACGGCGGTCAGTGTGACGGACAGACGGGTCGATGTGTGTGTCAGCCGGGCTGGACAGGAGAACGCTGTGAGAACGGTAAGGTCATCTGAAATCTTACGACGTCTCTTATGCTCACTAAGTATGCATTTATTTGATGAAAAATTACTTAAAAACAGTACTGTGTATTGTGAAAAATCATTCAGAAATCATTGATAATAATTTAGCGGAAAAAAAGCATATTAGAGTGATTTCTGAAGGATCATGTGACACTGAAGACTGGAGTAATGATGCTGAAAATACAGCTTTGATCACTGGAATAAATTACATTTGACCATATATTAACATAGAAAACAGCTATTTTAAATTGTAATATTATTTCACTGTTTTTACTGTATTTTTGATCAAATAAAAGCAGCCTTGGTGAGCAAAAGAGACTCTCAAAAACATTTAAAAAAACATTTTATTAATTATTCCAAACTTTTGAACTGTATTAGTTACAGAGGATTCGGCTCCTATACATATACATATTTTCTGATGTATTTTAATAAAGACTGACTGTCTGGATATTAGAGTATAATCCTGAGTTCACTAGTCATATTCACACTGAGAGAATGATTGAACATGCCTATAAAACCTGTGTGTGTGTGTGTGTTTTGTATTTGTCTATCCATGTGGTGACCAAATGTCCCTGTATTCAAAAATCCTTAATAAAGAACTAAATAATGTATTTTTCCACATATAAAAAGATCAGTAGATGTCTATAAGGAAGGGCGAGGGTGTAATGATTGTGTGTGTGTGTGTGTTAGCGTGTGTGTCGGGGCGGTTCGGAGTTGGCTGTGAGGGCCTGTGTGAGTGTGAGCACAGCGCCCCCTGTCATCACGTGAGTGGACAGTGTGTGTGTCCTGCAGGATGGAGAGGAAGACGCTGTGAGAAAGGTCAGTTCATCACATGCCTATAGACTACACACACACACACACACACACACACGACGCCACCGCACCATAAAACTTGCACTTTTAAACCCGTTTTCAAAAATGTGTGTTTTAAAGCCGTTGTTGTTTAAATAAACTGACAAAAAGCATAAAAGTTTCGTTTTTTGTTGAAAAACCGCCATTTGGTCATATTAGTTATCACCAATATAAAATAATTATTACATATTTAATTTCATGTTTATTTAATCATTTTTAATTATTTAATACTGGTTAATGATGTTATATATAAATATATATTATTTTATAATTATTAAATAATAGATATTACATTTTACCTTTAGTTATTTTTACTTGAAAAGGGATTTTATAAATATTGTTGATTGTATAATATTAGTCATATCGGTTATCTCCCATAATAAATAGTAATTCAATATTTAATTAAATGTTTATCTAATAATTCATATTTAATTAATACAAAATATTCAATAAATGTTCATTTATTGTTTAATAATTCTTAAATTATATATATATATATAATTTAAGAATATTATATATATTATTTAAATATATAAGTATTACATTTTATCTTCCTGTATTTTCACTTGAAGAGGAATTTAATTTAGAAATATTATTACTTGTATAATATTTGTCATATTGGTATCACCCATAGTAAATAATAATTAAATATTTCATGAAATGTTTAAATATGATATATATATATGTGTGTGGAACTGGAGCTTGATTTGAAGTGTGTGTGTGTGTGTGTCAGCGTGTCTGCCGGGCTCATACGGGCAGGACTGTGATCAGATCTGCTCTTGTCCGTCGGGATCCTCCTGTCATCATGTGACCGGAGTGTGTGGATGCCCTCCTGGACACACGGGCGACGGCTGCGAGCTCAGTGAGTGTGAGCCCACGAACCACACACACACACAATCACTGCGTCAACAACTGCACTTCATCTACCAGTGCAGTCATACACACTGACCACAATATATGACAAATTAAAGTCGGCATGAAACGGAAATTGTTTATTTACATACTAATTGTGACATACTAAATATTACAAATTTAAATAAAAAAATGCAGGTTTTTTCAGCAAGGACACATTAAAATGATCCACAGTGACAGTAAAGATATTTATTATGTTACAAATCATTTCTATTTCAAATGCTGTTCTTTTGAGCTTTCTATTCATCAAAGAATCCTGAAAAATATGTATCACCGTTTCCACAAAAATATGAAATGATTTCTGAAGGATCATGTGACACTGAAGACTGGAGTAATGATGCTGAAGATTCAGCTTTGATCACAGGAATAAATTACAGTTTACAATATATTCACATAGAACACAGTTAATAATATTTCACAATAATTTTTTACTGTATTTTTGATCAAATAAATGGTGAATAAGAGACTTAAAATCTTACTGACCCCAACCGACCTTTTGAATGGTAGTTTATGTATAAAGAATAAGAATGAATTGTTCACAATAACATGCATTGAGATTATTATGTCAGTTATTCATTCAGGGCAGTGTTTCATCATGAATACTGCATCCATCATGTACAGTAGCATCATCTGTGTGTGTCCCAACAGTGTGTGTTTCCGGCACGTTCGGCATCAACTGTAACCAGGTGTGTCAGTGTGCCGAGAGGAACCAGCTGTGCCACCCGGTGTCCGGAGTGTGTTACTGCGCGCCCGGCTTCAGCGGACACACGTGTGGTCAGGGTGAGACTCACTGGGAGAACAGCAGGGCTTATGAGTTGATGAAAACATACATATATATAATCATAAACATGTCAAATTAAAATAAATACATTTGAAAGTAAAAACAAACTAAAAAGATTTGCAGTTTTTATGATGAACCATTTTAGTCTGTTTTAGTTTGATTGTTTTAGTTTTTAAAAAGTGTATTTTAATTTCAGATTTTTATGATTATTGATTATGATTAATGATTATTCATTTTTATTAGTGTTTTAATTTGATAGTTTTTATTTTAAAATGTATTTATTTAGATTTTATGTTTATCATATTATTAAATTTAAAGTGTTTTAGATTTGGATTTTAGTTTTTAAACATTAATAAACATCTGAAATGTTTATTAAAAATTTACAAAAATGTATATAATTATAACAATACGTTTTAAAATAAAAACAAACTAAAACACTTAGTAAAATTGAATAAAAATCTAAAATTAAAGTAAATAAATATTTTTTTAATAAAACCAAATTAAAACACTTACTAAACGAGGGACTATTTTATTGGTTTCTTCAGTGTATAATATCTAATATTTTATATTGAGATACTATTATAGTTTTTATTAATAAATTGATTTAGTTTTTATTTTTATATTTTGTTTTATTTTTAAATTTTATTTAAAGATTTATAATATCTCTGTGTGATTTTAATTCATTTTAATTTCAGGTTTAGTTATTTGAGTACATCAAGTTTATTTTTTTTTACAATAACAAAAACTACAATAATCCTGCTGTACTGTACAATATGAAAGCTTCTCTCACTGTAATAAGCAAGACTGGGTTCTTTGTAATGCTTTTCAGTGTGTTTTCAACAGAATCTGCATGTGTATAATGTGATGCTCGTGTTCCTCTGGATGTGTGTGTGTGTGTAGCGTGTGCTGATGGACTCTACGGTCCCGACTGTGAGCGTCAGTGTCAGTGTTTGAACGGAGGAGTGTGTGTCTCAGTCTCGGGCGCCTGTGAATGTTCAGCCGGATTCATCGGAGCTCGCTGTAACCTCAGTGAGTCACTGCACCGCAAACGCTGAGAAACACACACTTTACCTCGCACACACACACTCTCTCCTCTCCTCTTCAGCGTGTCCTGCTGGACGCTACGGGCTGGACTGTGTTCACGTGTCCAGATGTGGGAACGGGACGAGAAGCGACCCAGTCACAGGCAGATGTGTGAGAGACGAGCGTGACCGAGGTGAGCCGGTGTTTGCTCTAATGTTAGTCGTGTGTGAGGGTTTCTCTGACAGATGTGTGTGTGTGTGTGTAGTCTGTCCTGCAGGCTGGTTTGGATCTGGTTGTTCTCAGCGCTGTGACTGCAGGAACAGAGGTGTGTGTGACTCCGTCTCTGGAAACTGCTCATGTGGCCTCGGCTGGACCGGCTCACACTGTGAGAAAGGTGACGTGTGTGTGTGTGTGTGTGTGTGTTTATCATTCTCTATAGAGATTAGAGCAAACATTAGTCGATTAGGAGATCAACTTATTTTAGTTTTATTTAAATTATTTTGTAAAAAAATAATAATAATCTAACATTTAAATTTATTTCAGTTAACAAAAAAGATTTTTTTTTTTTTTTTTGTATTATATTTTCAGTTTTCATTTTGATTTTAGTTTTATTATTTTTGTTATGTGCTTTTATCAGTTTTTTTTTTTAAATTATTTATTTATTTTTAAATATTTTTGTTTACCTTCAGTTTATTTTAATAAATGTTTTAGTAATTTTATGTCAATTTATTTTAGTTTTATTTAAAGTATTTTTTAATTTTTAAGTCTGTTTTTTTCCTATCGAATTTTTATATTTTATTTCAGGTTTAAAATAGTTTTAGGTTCAGTTTTACTGGTTGTAAATAAAGAAGGTCATAGTGTCACACAGTATCTCTGCGTGTGTCCTGATTGTGCCGAGACTCTCCAACTCTAAATCTGTCATATTTTTGTTAACGGCGGCAAAATCTCCTCTGTGTGTGTTATAATCGGTGTGTGTGTGTGATGGCAGAATGTCCCGAGGGTCGGTTCGGTCCTGATTGTGCGCTTCAGTGTTCGTGTGTGAACAACAGCACGTGTGACGGAGTAACAGGAAGCTGTCGGTGTGCAGCGGGATATTACGGACATCTGTGTGAACACGGTGAGATCCAGAGCAACACACAGTTAAAGCGTTTACACCTCAGGCGGAATGCGTTCTGATACGGAGTGTGTTTCAGTGTGTCCTGCCGGTGTGTTCGGGTCTCGGTGTCAGCATCGCTGTGACTGTGTGAACGGGGCGTCCTGCCTCCCGAGAACCGGACAGTGTGTGTGTCCCGCTGGACTTCACGGCTCTCGTTGTGAGAGAGGTGAGACGCTCATCCTTACATCAGTCAAGCTATTAAACAGAATTAATCTAATCTTAGAATTAACTCTTTCCAGGATTGGGTGTTCTCAGTGTTATACGGTAGGGGGCGCTGTTACACATCTTCTTCCCCATAAAAACAGCAGAAACAAGCGATACACACATTGCTTATGCGCACTGTAGAGAGAGTTAATACCAGGATATAAATGATCAGGACTCTTCAATTCGATTTGTCTAAATAGATCTTAACCAGTAAAAGTTAAATCTGGACTGCTTACAAAATTTCAGACATTTCCTAATTAAATTATCACAAAGTTTTTGGGAAAATAGTTGCCAGCCAGGGCAGCATTTTTGATCATCAAATTTCAATATGTCAAAAGAAAGAAGAGCCTATGATTTAAAAAAAGAAGAAGAAAACCCTGTTTTGATTTATATGCTGTTAATGTTGATGATCGGATTATTTTACATGTGATTACATATGAGATGGCTTGTTTCTGCTTCTTCTTCACTTGTGTTTTGATCCGAAGCTTCAGTTCTCTTTCAGAAGATGTGTAATAGCGCCCCCTACCGTATAACAGTGAACACACAGAAAGTTAATGTGATGTTTCATTGAGCTGTGAATCTATTAATCCTGTGCACATTTTCAGACTGAGGCTTCATGCAGTAAAATCATCTAGTTGCAGGGTTATTGATATTGTAAACGAAAGCCATAAACACGTTTTCATTATTTGAAATAGAATACACATTAACTGAAGTAAAAAAAAAACACGTATTTTATTTCAGCTTGTTGCAAAGGCAACATTTCTTATTATTGTGTAGTTCAAATTGAAATACCAAAATAACTAAAAACTGTATAGACATATTTAAAAAAATAATAATAACAAAAATGACAAAAACACATATCAAAACAACTAAAACACTCAAATGAAAACAGAAAATGAAATCTTATTTAAAATATGATCAAAACCCCTAATGATAGTAAAACTCTTTTCCTTCCTCAGAATGTGAGCGCGGCTCGTTCGGGCTGAACTGCTCCCGGTCATGTGACTGTGCGGGACACACACCATGTGACCCGGTGAGTGGCAGGTGTATCTGCCCGTCGGGAAAGACAGGAGTCAGGTGTGACAGCGGTGAGTCAGTGACACTGCCCTGATGATTATTATATCTGAATATGTTGAGATGATGTTGTGTGATGTTCAACAGACTGCAGTGTGAACCGCTACGGGCCCGACTGCGCGCTCGCGTGTGAGTGTGAGAACGGCTCTCAGTGCGACAGCAGGAACGGACGCTGTGTGTGTCTGAACGGCTGGATCGGTCTCACGTGTTCAGAACGTAAGTAGTGCTTCTTTTTCAGCTGTGTATAATACAATATTATATTATATAATCAGGGTTTGATATGAACATTTTCACTCTCACCAGTCAATTTGGCTGCTGCATTTTTTTTGCAAAATTTTTCTTTTTTCTATATATACACAGTATATTTATAAAATGTATAGTTTGACTTTTATATTTCCCATTTTCATTTCTGTTGCAGTTTTGGTAATTTTGTGTTTTTATACTTTTTTTTATTTCTATTTAGTAATTTGAGTAGTTTAAATTGTCATTTTTATTTCAGTTTTAGTTATTGGTAGCACTTTACAATAAGGTTTTGTTTGTTAAAATTAAATAGTAATGAACATTTATTAATGTTAAAAACACTTCTAAATCAAATAAACACTTATATTAATTTTAATTAAGTGCTAATACATTTTTAAAATCAAACGTTTTTGTTAACATTAGTTACTGCTCTGTGAACTAACATGGACAACTGTATTTTGTAATGTTGTAAAAAGATATTAGTTAATGTATTAACTAACAGTGGACAATGTTTACAAATGAGACCTTATAGAAAGTGTTACCTAGTTATTTTAGTATATTGTTAAACTAAATGAAAATGAGAAATGCTCCCTTGAAACAAGTTTGAGTTTTAAAAATATATTTTTTATTGTATTGAAATTATTTCAAGTAACAAAAAAGTTGTTTCATGATCTTAGTTAACTATAATAACCCTGATATAGTAATATATTGTGATTTGAATGTTTGTAGGTGAAACTCCAGAGCTGGACTCCAGAAGTGTAGAAGAGAGCCAGTCACAGCTCAACTCCTCATAGCACACACACACACACACACACACACACACACACACACAAAGACTACATGGAAGCACGAGTGTGTTGAGGTGGTGTTGGCCGCATGTGTTCTGAAGAGATCATGTTCAAACACACAGCTCATACTGGACCCTCATCCTTCTTTCAGGGGATATTAATATTCTCTGTTCAAGTACTGTTGTGATATAGGATTCACATTTGACCGTAAACTGGAGAAAAGTGCCTTTTTGATTTTTTCAAAATTTCTAAACAATCCCAGATTATGTCACTCATTGTTTACTACAGTTTTTTACAATCACTTTGCTACTATTTTCAGAACCTTGATGTCATTTTTCAAAACTCTAGACACAAAACTCAAAACGATAATCACTTGTAACACAGGCTGTCTAATGTTCAAAACATTGCATTGTGCATTCACATCTTTAAAGAAATCTTGCACTTGCACAATCATTGGTTCAAAAAACAAATTAACTGTGAAATACCATTGAAACATAACTATAGATCACCCACACACAAGCAACCGATAGTTTCACTGTGTCATTGTTCGTACTATCATTAAATATTGTAGAGCAAAATAGGTGATACAGGTTTCATTATGGTACTTCATGTACAGTAAATACATCTCTGTAAAAGTACTGCAGTAGTAGAGAGAATATTACAGACACAGTGGAATCATTGTGAACAAAGTTTGTAATATATTGATGCAAAACACTACAGTACAATCACAACATGGTTTTTTGAATCAAAGCAAAAATAATTAGCTATGAAATAGAAAAGAAAAGACAGTACTGTAAAACATCAAATGCAGTGTTCCTCAACTTGCTGTAAGAAACTAAACAGGAGTGATTACTGTACTTCTACACTGTCATCAACTCTGTGTTGTGGATTTGGCCACAGGTTCTCATCTACATCACAATGGATGTTGGAAAATGACATCTTGGAAAAAACCTTTGGCATGGCGAGTCCAGGCCTGACACTGCTCTGCTGTGATTGGCAGAATTGGACACGCAGTTACAAGGGCCTGCATCTATACAGTACTGTACTGTCAATACTGTACATAGTCTGAAAAGGTGGTACAGTATTTGGCACCATAGACACAGTGTCTGATGAAGCATTACAGTATGATAAAATATTAGGCTACATCCATGGATATTGTAGTCTAATTGGTTCATGCCATGCTAATTGGTGACAATGAATCTCATTATCTTGAAACTTTCATGATTTACTGTAAACATGGAAGATTGTGTGTCTGTTTCCATACAACTATGCATTAAGAGTAATGCAACAGTTACTTATCATTTTGAGCAGTTGTATCAATTGATAGTTAGATCATTGTAAGGAAATGAATAGACACTCATTTGAAATGTAATGTGTGAATTGCCTTTTGAAATAGTAGTACTGTGATGTTAAGTTGTGTCATATTGAACAGGTGATCTTTGTTGAATGAACAAATGATCTAAGTTTTATGTGTATTGTATCCAAGCAATTGAGAAAAGGGTTAGAGTTTTGAAAAATGTGCTTTTTGATCATTGGTTGTGAGTTTTGTGTCTAGAGTTGTGAAAAATGACATCAAGGTTCTGAAAATAGTAACAAAGTGATTGTAAAAAACTGTAATGTTGTTGAACCCAAACTGTTTGTTTTACTGTAACATTTGATAAAAAAACAAACACGGGAAACGTGTGGATGTCAAGATATTGAACTGAACAAGATATTGATATAAGATCATGATGTTCTTTTATTAAAGGAGGGCCTGTTTGTGAAATATGTTTATATTAGAAACATTTTTTCATCCTTCATTTTCAGTTTAGCATTTGATTGTTTTGTATAAAGTTTGAGTTATTTATATATTTTGTACAATATACAAATATACAATTGTAAATGTTATGCCAACTCTTTAACGTGTGACCCTCTTGCAGAAAGTTTTTACTCGATGCCCCAAAAAAGTTCATTCTGGAATGCTAGACTTATTTTATTTAAGAAAGCATGTTATGTGTAAAGTTTCAAAGACTCAGCAAGTGCTCAAGTTTTTGTAAATCCAGGGGCCAGATTTTTAAAACCGATTTCAGAATAAAAGACTGCCGTTTTAAACTTGTTGTTTTACTTTTTTAAAGAGTAAAAAAAATATTATTTGGAATTATTATTATTTATTTATTTCAACAGGGACAATGTGCAAAAAAACATTAATTAAAGATGATTTGCACCAGATTTAGCTTAAGCTAATTTCCATCTGCAGTCCCCGAGCAGGTAAGTTACAATACAAAATATACAATATAAAATGTAATAATTAATCACTCAAATACAGCTATTAATTAATTCATTCCACCATTCCCCATTACAACCGTCAGTCCAACTAAATCATACCAAGATAACTACAATAAAACCTCACTAAAAAGTCATATTTACATACACAATTATCTATGCTGGCACAACTGGTTTTCCAATAGCACTTTCCTTGTATTATGAGAAAAATCCTTCAGGTCAAAAGTAAGTTTCAGGTATATATATATATCCCAAAATAACAAGGTATTGTTGGATTATATAATCTGTAATCCTATTTTCTTGATCCCTATTTTCTTGATTCTTTTGATCCTTTTCACAAAAGTGTCAAAACCCCCAGATCATTTTGTTGTATAAATATCTGAACATGAAATATATCTAATATATAATATAAAGAAAGAATAGTAAAAACAAGGAAACCTGGAACATTCAGTCAGTGGCAGGGAAAGAGTTAAGAACTTTTCGTCTCAAGAATATTTTTGCCAGTAATATTTTCTTATTGAACCGAAGCCTCCATTACTGTAATTCTTCCACACCAAGAAGACAAATACACACACAGGCTGTTTTTCATTTTCATCATTTTATAGTTGTCATTTCATAGATACTGGCGCTGTACATGTCTAAATTCAGACTCAAGCACAATGCAGTCAGCAAATGCCTTTCGATGAAAAGAAAGAACCAAAGGCTGGAGTGATCAGGACCATGAATACTCTTATGTATATATATATATATATATGTACAAAGGTCAAACTATATACAGAAATCTGACTCGACATACAGTATTTCTCCACAAAGCGTGGATATGTAGCTTGCCATTGTATACATTTCACAGAATTCTCCAAAATGCATATTCAGTGCAAATAATTGCTCTTTGTATTCTTTGTTGTCATCATCATCATCATCATCATCATCATCATCTTCAGGTCAGTACCACCGAAGGGCAACAAAGAATGGTAAAAAAATAAAATCATATTTTTGTCTTTATCCTTGCAAAATATTAAACATGAAAAATAATTTCCTTGGGTATGGTATAAAAAAACAAAAAAAACTTCTACACACATATCCATAACCTCTGACCTGTAAAATATGGATTGTAGATGAGGGTTCATCTATATGGCTGGACTGATTATTACAGATTTAATAGCAATTACACTTTCCCTGCTTTTCCAACCACTCCTAAACAACTTAAAATGTCGCTACTAAAAATTCTGCCAGTTTTACACACTACTTGAAGGAGGCATTGAAACAATTCTGTCAATGATATTTACGCCTTCTTGATGAAATCACCAGATGCTATCAGACGGCAAACAACATAAGTGTGTTTAAAGTTATCTGAGGAACAACACTGCTCGACACAGGCTGACATGGACAACACTGACCAACAGAAAACTGAACATGACGAGTCCATTCAAAGCCGCTGTGATCCTGGCCGTTACGCCACATCTAGTGTCTAAAACACGGTGATGAGAACACACACACACACACAACTAACACATCATGCCTGAAACTAAACCAACAACCAACTGCCTTTATTCACAAATCTACTGCTCATTAGATTAGTTCTCTCACACACACACTTTAAGTGATGTCATTCAATTTCGATGATATTTCCATGTACTAATGTTTAGTTGACAATACACAATGAAATATAAAGGAATGTTTCAGGTTCAGTGAACTGAAGCTCTAGGGACAGAGATATATTTCCACTTGTTTCTCAGTTTGGAAATATGCCGTTGACAGTAATGAGCTTACAATGAAAGTCTACTAGGCAAAAGAACATTAAAACACTGTTTATGAAGTGAACCCATAATGACTTCAACGTTATACAGTATTAGCATTCCAGTCTGATAAAAAAAATGATTACACTTTATTTTAGGGTGTCTGTGTTACAGTGTAATTATACAGTATATTTAAGTACTGGGTAATATTGGTTGAGGGTTAGTTGCATGTTCTTTAATTTTGCAATAATTTAATGTTATTGATATGGTAAGCACATAAGAACACTGTAAAATAAAGTGTTACCAAAATAATAATAACAATGCTTACTTAACGTGTCTGTCACACAGTTATAACCATTTGGCTATACTACTTTTTTTTATAATCATCAATGAATTTATTTTATTTATTTGACTTAATTGGACTAATTAAATTTTGCAAAAAAAAAAAAAAGCCTATTTTAGGATGATTTATTATTTCACTATCTTCATGAAAATGAATCACATTTTCTCACCAAATTCTCATTTGAAACATTAGACAATATTAAAATACACTGATTGTGAAGACAGTATACTAGCCTGATACTAGTGTGACAAAACTCTTACAACGCTATCCGTGCACATTATTTATAACCATTAGGCTACCACCACCCCATTCTTAAAAAACTTTTATTATCAATTAATTTATTTTATTTTATTTATTTGCCTTACTCTGTGAATCCAGATAATATTTGACCCTAAAATCTATGTATGCTTAATTGTGTAAAATTATCCCCATGAAAATTAACCACATTTTCTCCCCAAATTCTCATTATTGTAATTCAAAAAAAGTAAACCCTGTAAATTTCACACAATATGCACCAAGAAAACCAGAAAAAAATATCTACCGTCAGAAATGATGACAGTAACACATAACCACACGTCAATCTGCTTGAACAAACTCAAATTCTTTGAACAAAACAAATGACCAGCTGCACATTTCTGCTATTAACACGTCTGTCCATTTTAAGCACAATACTGTAAAAAAAAAAATTGTTTGTTTGAAAAGATCATCTGTGGTAATCGACACGCATCAGCTGAACTTCTGAAACTGAAACATTCCTTTAAACGGGTAAAAGTAAGACATTAACACTATAACTGTAAATCAACTCCAATTAATAAGTGCCTAATGAATAAAGTGCAAATCTTAGGAATAACTGCACCGTTATCATCACACAGTAAATGTACGTGGCTCCAAGCGCTCGGGTCATTATTCTTCAGAGACACAAACGCACAGATGAGATGGACGGACGCCAACTTCAACATTCAACGGTTTATAAAGCTGATCTAAGTCATGAATGGAGCTTTTTGTCTATCACATTTAATTCCCATAAGCACACAGCGTCCAAGCTTTGTGGTTTAAATTTAATTCTGATCTGTAAAGTAGTTTAATCACTATCATGAAGAACAGCAAGCTCATCTTTTCAGAACAGCACACAAAAAATGATCACGTAATTTCCGTCTTGCCAATATTATCTGTGATAATGGGATATGACAATAGCATCCGGCTAGGATGTGCACTAAAAGAGCAGTGAGCATTGATCCGGGATACAGCATGCTTTCCGAAAGAATCTCATGCATTTCCCTTGTGCTTGATCAGGGACAGTTTGATTAAACACTGCTCGAATTCAGTAATATCTTATTGATCGATGTTTGGTGACCAACCTCCATTTAAAAAAGATCTAAAGACTGCTTATTCATACTGGGTGCACTATGTATACTTGCACCAAGTATGTATATATGTACTTATATTTATAGAGCGCTGCTAAGAGTGAATACAAAGTGAAGAAAGATGCGCAGTTTAAAAACCAGATACATGCTGCTAAATGACCGATCGTCTCTCCGTCCGAAAGAGGACACGGGAGTCACGTTACTGACGGGATGTGGGATAAATCTTTGGCTTCAGCCACATGTATCATCACCAGTACATACAAGAAATGCCCAATGTCCAGAAATGAGATGAAAAAACAGCAACTTCTGCTTCTTAACGATGTTAGACGATGTAGCACACACACACACACACACACACGCGAACATAGACATTCTACTGCAGTCCCTGAGCTGCTGACACAAACAGGTCTTTGCTCCTATTGGGCAGGCGAGATAATGCCATTTAAACAGTCCGCTTTTCTATTGGCTAAAAACACCTGCCATATCACTGTGCTGGTGAAGGCCACAGGTGACCGTAGCTGTGAGCCCCAGCTAAACTGCAGGGAATATTATGAAACTGCTTTTTAATTATATATTTTTGGGTGCTAATTATAGATGTCCAATCACAGGGGTGGTAAAGCAGAACTGTGTTTTAACTTTATTTAGGATTGACCCTCCAACTTTTGTGTTAACAGTCTATTTTTTATAACCATTAGGCCTCCACCACCCCATGTTTCTACTCGTTTTAATCATCACAAAATTTGCCTTACAGGGTGAACGTTATGAATAAATTTCCAGATATTTCACCATAAAATCAATTATATTTGCATTATATTTTTGTGACATTATTTAGATGACAATTAAGCACGTTTCCTTCTCAAATTGTATATTGTTATGCTATTTTTACATTAAAATCGGTACAATAAACACTACCATATCTACTTACAATTAAACTTAAACATACTTTCTGTATATATATATATATTTGCTCATTTGGGAAGGAAATGTGCTTAATTGTCATGTAAATAATGTCACAAAGAAAGCTTTTTTGTAATGGTTTATATAATCTCATTTTGATTTTGATTCGGAGGGGAAATATGACCAAAATATATTCTCGACATGTTTCCTAACATTCACTCTTCAGACTGAAAACTAGTACTCGCATTAAATATTTTTGAAGCATGCTTATCCCATTAATACCTCAGATCATTCAATCTACACTTAAAATCTAATACATCAGTGAGAGTAACTGTAACATCAGTACACTAAAGGTGTGTGCTAGGAGCAGGTTACTGTGGAAGGAAGACCTCCGAGGCTCATCGCCGTCAGTTTCCAGCGTTCTTCAACAACCAAACAGACCGCTGCCCTCCAAAAGCACAACATCTGATGGAGTGATTTGACATCAGAAGGTCTCTTGCAGAACTGTTAGCAAAGAAATGACACATGAGAAGCTAGGGCCGCCTTTTGAGGCTAAACAGAGAAGAGCGGACACCGAGACGATGCAATGCCCTGTGCAGAATAAGCAAAAGCCACTGATTTTTGCCCCATTCCACACTAGAGAGGAGCTGCGCTTAAATCAGTTCTCACAAAGCCACTCCCTCTGATGTTCCCTTAAAGTGCTTATTGGTTTGCCTGCGGAGGGGGCGTGTGCATACGTAACGCAGACGACACAGTGAAGAGTTCTGGGCCGAGACACCTCGATGATGTGAACGAGGTGAATGGATCACATGAGTGGCTATGGATCATGTGCAACTGATTACCTATTTCAGCTTGAGCTCCATTTTTGTTATTATGCATTCAATATTAAAAAACAAACAAAAATGGTATATTTCCAGCAACCAAGCAAGCATGTTGTTATTTATTTTTTTAAACGTTTTAAGCATATTTTTCATTTTGTTCTTAATTACCCTAGTGATCTCATTTTAAAGTACCTTGACTGTAGAGTAACACGGATAAATCCGTAAGCACATATCTTCAATGCATCGCTCTCTATGCTGCATTTCAACCCCTCTATCAGTGAATGTGTTTGTTTTGTGTATTTTTCACGTGTTTCTTGCCCTTTGTGTTCTAAAAGTCTTGCTCTCCAGGGTTTGTGGGTGCTTGCCCGTCTCATGCGGCCGGTACTCATTCAGTAAAAGCTGAAGCTAACGGAGGATCAGGCAAAGGTGAGTGCGGAGCATCCGGTCCCGTCTGGTTCCACACTAGGAGCGGTAGTCCTTTTTACTGTAGGGTTTGTTTCCCAGGATACTGTCCACCTCGTGCACGATGGAGGAGGATAGCTTTGGAAGAACCTGCAAAAAGAGCTGCAAACTGAGTCTGGTTTCCATGTATATATAAAGAGTGAGGTCAAAACATTATTAACCCTTTGCCACTACGGGGAAGTGTATATAAATACATATATACATACACACCCACACACACACACATACATATAAATAAAATACACACACACACACACACACATATATTATATAAACAAACATACATTTTTATGTTAGATGCGATTAATCGCAATTAATCAATTTGAAAGCACTAATACTTTACTATATAAAGGTGAATACTTAAACTTTTAATGGATTTCTAATCAGGGTTCCCAGACATTTTGACCAATGAATTTGCATGACAGCATTTAAAAAGACCAATTTCGAGCTGATTAAACATTTTACATTCGCAATCACTAACCAATGCCTTGAAATGTCATGTGCAAAATATTTATATTCGATATCTTTAGGTTTTCCATGAATGTGAAAACCCTGATTATTTGAGTTTACAGAAATAACATTTCACAACCAGCAACTCAGCCTTTGCTAAGCTCCGCCCACCCAGATTACAGCCGCTCGCTCAGATGAGTTTTACAGAACGTCCCATAGGAATGAACCGGAGATTCCTGTGAACAGCATGATATGCTGTAAAATGGGCTCATAAAGTGATTAAAATCGAACGGATTATTCTTATGACATTGGAAAGCATGCTGTTATATTGCTAAATTGCACAGAAACATGGTTAAAAATGGCAGTTTGATTCAGAATGGATGCAAATGCCTCTCATAGCCAACTGAAAAGAGAAAAACCTCATTTGATAGCCATTAACTAAAACGTTTGTGCAAGAATTATCAAAATATAGGTACCTTGTGTCACTATAAGTGCTTTTCCAATGTTTTATGAGGCTTGTTTTATGAATACATTTTTAACTCACAAGTTTAAATACAATCGACAGGTAAAAGTGAACGATTGCATTCACTTACAGTCGAAAATAACTAAATATGTATAATAATAGAGTGCTGCAGGAATGCCCAACTATAATGACTTTTGCTTCTGGGAACCCTGGAAATATGAAAAGTCCAAATGGCTGCAAGTTGCAGTAAACTAAGATTGGTCAATAATGGGTTTGAGGCGGAGCTTAGCATTTGATTGACACTTGCCACACACTCATTTGCATTCTCACCTGTATTGCTCCTATATTCTCCATGAGCTGGTCCGTGTTGGAGGCTCCGAGGAGCACAGAGCTTACGCCTTCATTTCTCAGGCACCACGCTGGAGACAGGCAGCAAATATGTTGAACATATAGCATAAATAATATCATTCACAATATATGCACACCCCACCTTTAAAGCAAAACCTAGCCATCACGAAGAGATAAATGTTATGTTTAAAACAAAACATGAATCTAAATATACACAAATTAAGCCATTTCCAAAATTAAAGCAGCTAGTTCTCCCACTCCTACACACATTGAAGCATCTCAAAAAACACACAGCATTTGCCAGACCACTCTGTTACCATGGCTCCCAGCACCAGGACACACCGAGCGCTCAAAATCAGAGCTGCGTGATCTTTTTTTTTGCAGGAAGAGGAGTGATATCTGCAGGAGCGCAGAGGAGGTGAAGAGGAGCCATGCTGACCGCTGCCGTTCCCTAAACACGGTCCATGCAACACCACCGCCACACACAGACAGGAAGGAAACTCTGTGGGGATTTCAATCCCTCCTGGGAGTTTGTGTGTGTGTGTGTGTGCCATCTGTTGCACTGGCATTCCGTGTGTTGGCACTGCAGTGTGTTTACTGTACTGGTGTGTGTGCGGGTGGTTGTGTTTGTAAAACGACAGCCATTTGGAAGTGTGTTCTTATTTTTCAAGGCTACACTGTGTCAGCTCTGATGTTCTTCATAAATCAGACTACAGTGGATTTTAATGGATTTTAGCACTTTAGCCCTAGCAGATTGCTTTCTCTGAACACACACACACAAATGCAAATGGTATACAATCACGCCGACACTGTAACAAAAGATTTCTGGGAAGAGAAATTGCAAAAACTAGTGTTGTTGGGGATCAACTAACTTTTTTTCTTCATGTTTTTAAAATAACGTAGCTTTTCTAGTATGTTGTAACCTGACAAAACACAATTTTCTGTCACAATGCACTGTACATAAGTGAGCTGAGGCAAAAGCCAAACACTCTCCTAGAATGTCCTCTCTCCAAAGTAGCTATGGGAAATATGATTCATTTCATTAAATCGATTCGTTCAGATGGTCAGTTTCAATTAACTCAAAGGCAGATTCATCAATTTATAACATAATTGTCCCTGTGAATAATTTTCACTTGCACTTCACTGTAACAATATTTTTTTTACTCCATAGCATTAATTATTTCACTATAGATATTTGTACTATATATATATACACACACTTCAAATATCTAAAGTGCAAAGATGTTTAATATTGTTATTTACTTTTGTTACAAACTTAATGGAACAACTTTAACAAAAGGGAAAGCTTCACTGTAGTTTAGCTACTTTTACAAGCTACTCATAATCTACTGTGTAAAACCAGCCTCCTCAACACTGTCAATAACACACTGGATGATGTCATCCCTCAAAATCATCTGCCCATTTACATCCCTGTGCAGTTCATTAACCCTCACAGCAGATCTGACCCGCAGCACTATTTTTAAATGAGCTAAATGAGCAGCAGTGGCTGTGTACCGGCTGTGAATCGATTGGACGCGCTTGTGCGGGGGAAGTGGGATCTGCAGTGTTTGGGAGGGGCTGGCAACCCAGTAATGAGGTGCGAAATGTAATGTACGACTGCATTAAAGGCCAGGTGAGGGAAGGGGACATGATTCTATCGGCCGCTGCTTTGGGGATTGAGGTCCTGTCAAGATTTTTATTCCCCTGCGTCCCGCAGTCGATGAATCACGGAGCGTGTGCTGTCACATACAGTGCCAATTTACCACTCGGAAAGGTTGGAAAGATGAGGGTTTTCCTGAAACTTTATGGATCCGAGTAATGAAGGGTATCAGACCAGGGTGGGCGGTGTGACGGTGGTATAGAGGTATGACGATAGAAATGTGTAAGATATATTGGTGGAAACATAAGTAATGTGAAAAACATTCGTTTTTCAGTTTTGTTTACGGTTTTAATAATGTGGAGCAGTTTTTGCACTTTTGTTTGGGACAGACTTTTTTTGGGACTATTTGATAACATTATTATAAAAAAAAAAAAAAAACTTTTTTTGGAATATTTGTTATAATTATTTAGATAACAATTACTACAAAAAAATTTAATAAAATAATACAACAAGAAATAATAAAAAAATAAATTATTATTATTTAAATAAAATGATTTTGGTAGATGTATATTAAATTTTAAATAAAATAAGTAGATGAGATGAAGTACCTACTTTCTAAATTCACTAAATTGACTGGATTGTCCTAAAATATGTGTTACCACATAATTATATAAGATATCATTTAATACTGTATATAAATTATGTTTTTTGTTGAATTTCCACCAAAAAGAAATAATATATTGTGTTATACACTGTTACAGTGATGTAAAATTGCTCTGAAATAAGACTTCGGTCCTACCGCCCACCCCTATTAACGGCTCACACATTTTGGTTGAATTTGATAGTTTTGCCTTTAACTGGACTATTACGATGTGCAGCAGACTGTGATCACAAGCTCTCAAGATTAGATTACTGTACTTTAAGAGGATGTGCTTAAATCAAACCGTCGCAGCCCTTATAAAAGCCTTCATTCTAGATCTCACAGCAGACATTTCTTTGAGACGTTACACTCCAATCTCTCTTTAAAGCATTACACAACACTTTCCATCTCAGATACCACACTACAGAACATCATAAAACACTATGCCAAATCAATTTTAAACTATTATGTATCACTACATTTAAGCAAGAATTCAATGCTACGAGTAACAATCTTCCACTAACAGTTCCCTAAAAGCCACAAACGAATCGCATTTGCTCCTGAACTCATCCACGTCCGCTCCGGTGGTCTGAGGAAGGGGAGGATGAGAGGGGGAGAGGATGAGCGAGGTACAGGACGGACGGACAGACAGACAGAAAGAGAGAGAGCGGCAGTGTGTCTTTGGGTTAGGCGTACCGATGGCTAGCTGTGGCAGCGTGCAGCCCAGCCGCTCAGCGATTGCCTGCAGCTCTTTCAGCTTCGCCTGCTGGCGTCGGCCCTCCTCGCTCAAGATCTTGTCCTTCAACCACTGGTAGCCCTGTTAACAACACAGCACACCTGCTCAAAAACAGGGGCCCACGCCTACAGCGGTGCACTGACACACACACAGAACACAGAAACACACACGCTCTCGGACACGTAACAACAGCACCTGTGTGGGCGAGGGCCTGTTTTTAAACACGTGACTCTGTCCGCCCAAAAGCTCAAACGAGCAGAGATGAACTCGCTCGGAGAACTTTAGGGGGTAAAGAGATCTTATACACACACACAAACATAACATGACTTTTGAGAACGTGTTTTCTTTCTTTTTTTTTTTTTAAATGTAGTATAAATATTATATATAAAACACATTTCTATAAATTTAAAGCCAACATGAAACATTTGCAACTCATTGAATTTGGTAATCTGGCATATTTCCAAATGAAATCAGTGATTTAATATAAATATTAAACATGTGAATGAATATTCATAATTGAAAATGAACAGCATTTCAATGCATCGCAAAGGTAGCAATTCTTTTAATCATAATTGGCTATTTTTGTTGAATCTTTATTGAATTAGCATGCAGTAAATTACTGTTAAATGGCAATGTTTAAAAAAGGCTAAATACCTACAATAACAGCATAAAACGTCTCGGTTACGGATGTAACCCTCGTTCCCTGAGTAGGGAACGGAGACGTTCCGTCGGATGACGACGAATGGGGGGGGGGTTTCGCTTAGAAGCCAATCAACTTCAAATACTTCAAAACGAGCCAATGGCAAAGAAATGCCATGGGTCTGCGGAATTTGCATAGCGTAACTCCGCCTCACCTCGTGAGTATATAAGGAGAACGCTGGCAGCAAACCGGCATGTTTCTTCGCTGAGGAGCCAACCTGAGTTCAGGCGATCCCCGCGGTACAGCGGAAGTGGCAGGAAGACGGAACGTCTCCGTTCCCTACTCAGGGAACGAGGGTTACATCCGTAACCGAGACGTTCCCTTTCGTTGTCACTCCGAGTTCCGTCGGATGACGACGAATGGGGATACCAGTCTAATCACGCCATTTCTCAGCTGTCTTCCAGTGCCCTGCGTAAATCTGAGATCCCTGTCGTGAGACTAGCACGGACGAAGGACTCCTATTTAACACAGGAATACCAAGGTACACTGGGGAGCATATCCCAGATCTTAGGGAAGTATGCAATTACTGCCAACCCAGAGGGGGGGACTTAAGAATACACATATGACCCGAGGGATGCATATGGGGAATCACTGGGGTGTCCAGCCGCAGGTGGAATATTTCAACCCCAGGGGTGGCAAGGTGGCTTGCCAAGGGAAAGACACATGCTCAGAGAGGCTTACAGTGGGAATACACATGTGGGGGTAGCTCCGGGAGGTACCATGCACACGGGAGGCACCTAGCCGACGCGCAGGCAAGAGACACTGGCGCCGACGTCAGGAGTGCTGGAGGAACTCAGGGCTTTCGGAGAAGCTCACCTGAGGAGAATATCGCACGTATCCAGTCCGTGGAGTGGAGTGGCGAGCAAGCGAAGACACCTGAGCGGGTCCGGTACTAGCTGGTTGAAGCGAGTACATGAGAGGACACTGGCTCCACTCGGAGATTGTAGAATCTGGCGAATGTGTTAGGTGTCGCCCAGCCTGCAGCTCTGCAGATGTCTGTTAGCGAGGCGCCATGCGCTAGAGCCCAAGAGGATGCCACACTCCGGGTGGAGTGGGCAGTCACACCAAGGGGGCACGGTCGACCTTGCTGCTGGTATGCCAAAGCAATGGCGTCCACTATCCAGTGAGACAACCTTTGCTTGGAGAGAGCCTTTCCCTTCAGCTTCCCACCATAACAGACAAAGAGCTGGTCTGAGGTCCTGAAACACTGCGTTCTGTCTACATAGATGCGAAGAGCACGTACTGGACAGAGCAGTGCCAAGGCTGGGTCTGCCTCCTCCGGGGGCAGCGCTTGTAGGTTCACCACCTGGTCCCGGAAGGGAGTGGTAGGAACCTTGGGCACATATCCAAGCCGGGGTCTCAGGATCACGTGAGAATAGCCCGGCCCGAATTCTAGGCACGCTTCGTCAACGGAGAATGCGTGCAGGTCCCCCACCCTCTTAACGGAGGCCAATGCAGTCAGAAGCGCTGTCTTCATAGATAGGAAGTTTAGCTCGACTGACTGCAAAGGCTCAAAGGGAGCACTACGCAGGGCAGTTAGGACCACTGCGAGGTCCCAAGAGGGTACGAGAGGAGGGCGAGGAGGATTCAGTCTCCTCGCTCCTCTCAGGAACCTGACGATCAGGTCATGCTTCCCCACCGACTTACCTTCTATAAGATCATGCTGTGCGGCAATAGCGGCGACATAGACCTTGAGGGTGGAGGGAGACAGCCTTCGCTCCAACCCCTCTTGAAGGAAGGAAAGCACGACGTTGATCGAACATCTCCGGGGGTCTTCTCGGTGAGAAGAGCACCAGTTGACGAAGAGGTTCCACTTCAACGCATAGAGGTGTCTCGTGGACGACGCTCTAGCGGAAGTGATGGTAGCCGCCACCGCTGGTGGCAGGGTACTCAAACCTGCCTCGTCCCGTCCAGGAGCCACACGTGGAGGTTCCAAAGATCGGGACGAGGGTGCCATAGGGTGCCCCGTCCCTGAGAAAGTAGGTCCTTCCTCAGAGGTATGGGCCAAGGAGGTGCTGTCGCGAGGAGTACAAGTTCGGAGAACCAGGTCCGGGTGGGCCAGTACGGCGCGACCAGAGTGACCTGCTCCTCGTCCTCCCTGACCTTGCGCAGGAGTTGCGCAAGAAGGCTCACTGGGGGAAACGCATATTTGCGGCCCCGCGGCCAGCTGTGCGCCAGAGCATCCGTGCCGAGCGTGCCCTCGGTCAGGGAATAATACTGGGCGCAATGGGTCGAGTCGTGAGAGGCAAACAGATCTATCTGTGCGTCCCCGAACTGGTCCCAAATCAGCTGAACCGTCTGGGGATGGAGTCGCCAATCTCCGGGGAGGGGCTGAAGCCGTGACAGCTCGTCGGCTGCACAGTTCAGGGCTCCAGGGATGAAAATGGCTCGAAGCGACCTCAGATGCTTCTGACTCCATAAGAGGAGGTGGCGGGCGAGTTGCGACATACGGCGGGAGCGCAGACCACCTTGACGGTTGATGTACGCTACGGTCGCGGTATTGTCTGATCGGACTAGTACATGCTGGCCCGAGAGCACGGCTCGGAAGCGGCGCAGGGCGAGCTGTACAGCCAGCAACTCGAGGCAATTGATGTGCCATAAGCGGTGGGGTCCTGTCCAGGAGCCCGCGGCAGCACGTCCATTGCACATGGCACCCCAGCCCGTGGTGGAGGCATCTGTCGTTACAACAACATGCCGGGAAGCTCGTTCCAGAGGCACTCCTGCCCGTAGAAAACTGAGGTTCCCCCACGGGGTGAAGGTCTGACGGCAGGTCGGAGTAACTGGTACTCGGAGCGTGCCGTGTTGCCATGCCCACCTCGGGACTCGGTCGCGAAGCCAAAGCTGAAGCGGTCTCATATGAAGCAATCCGAGCGGCGTTGCCGCGGCTGCAGATGCCATATGCCCCAGGAGCCTCTGAAAAAGTTTCAGTGGAACCGCACTCTTGCCCTCGAACTGTCTCAGGCAAGTCAGCAGTGACTGCGCGCGCTCGCTCGTAAGCTGCGCGGACATGGCGACCGAGTCGATCTCCATACCGAGAAAAGAGATCCTCTGCGCGGGGCAAAGTTTGCTCTTCTCCCAGTTGACCCGAAGGCCCAAACGGGCTACATGGCGGAGTACCAAATCCCTGTGTTCGCAAAGCTGATCTCGAGAGTGAGCTAGAATCAGCCAGTCGTCGAGATAGTTCAGAATGCGAACCCCGTGTTCCCGGAGGGGAACAAGGGCTGCCTCGACGACCTTCGTAAAGACGCGAGGGGACAGGGCTAGCCCGAATGGGAGAACTGCGTACTGATATGCCTGACCCTCGAAAGCAAACCGAAGGAACGGTCTGTGTCGAGGGAGAATGGAGACATGAAAGTAGGCGTCCTTCAGGTCGATCGCTGCAAACCAATCCTGGTGCCGCACACATTCGAAAACGCGTTTGGCGGTGAGCATCTTGAACGGCAGCCTGTGAAGGGAGCGGTTCAGAACGCGCAGGTCCAGGATTGGCCGTAACCCACCGGTTTTCTTCGGGACAATGAAATACGGGCTGTAGAAGCCGGTCTTCATTTCGGCTGGAGGGACAGTCTCGATCGCACCCTTCGCCAGCAGGGTAGCAACCTCCGCTCTCATGATAGGGGCATTGCCACCGACCAAAGTGGAGCGGACTCCCCTGAAGCGGGGAGGAGACCGCGCGAACTGAATCGCGTAGCCGAGCCTGATCGTTCGTGCGACCCAGCGGGACAGGTTGGGAAGCTCTAGCCAGGCTCCCAAGGACTGAACCAGCGGGGTCATGCGAACCACAGACTTCCCGTCGGTGGGGCAGCGAGGCGGTATGACTGACCCAGACGTGGACGGCATAGCGGCCCGATGTGGGGGTGCAGTCATGAACCGCGCCCTGACAGAGGAGACCAGGGAAGGACGAACGTTCCACGGGGGTCTGCTCTGCCAGGGGTCTGGCGACAGAGGGGGATGAGAGTGGTGCGGTCCGGGGACGGCACGCACTGTCATCCGACTCTGGGACAGAGGAGGACGAGGGGTGCACGGCCCGGGGGCGGCGCACCGTGTCGTCCAAGAACTCTGTGTGCTCAGGGATGAACGTGTTATTTCTTTCTTTAACCACATTAGGGTACTGCCCACCCGTGGGTGAGCAGCGGGGAGTGGAGAACAAAAGATTCTCCCCCGGCCCTCCACCGGGGGAAGGAGTGGTCCTGCAACCACCTCCTGAGAAAAACACGTCATCCCTGAGCAGCCCGTCTCAGGAGCGCCGCTTGGCCCGGCGTTTAGCGGGGGGCGGGGCTGGAGAGGGCTGGGGCGCCTTCTTGCGACTTCCTCCGCGACCGGGCCCGGGTGGAGGCTGCTGCTTGGGCCGGGCGGGAGGGGTGGGAGTCGCAGGAGGGCGCCCTCGGCGGCGAACAGACTGAGTACTCTGCCCGGTCGGCTGGGTGGAGGCAGCAGCGGGCCGTCGGGGCAGAATATGCTTGATAGCCTCAGTCTGTTTCTGCGCAGTCGAGAACTGTTGGGCAAAGTCCTCGACTGCACCGCCGAAAAGGCCATCTTGCGATATGGGGGTGTCGAGCAGCCGGGACCGCTCGGCATCCTTCATATCGGCAAGATTGAGCCATAGATGTCTCTCCTGGACCACGGCTGTGGACATCACCAAACCCAGGGAGCGTGCGGTCACCTTCGTCGCTCGGAGAGCAAGGTCGGTGGCGGCGCGCAGCTCATTGAAGAGCCCTGGGTCTGTCCTACCCTCGTGCATGTCCCTGAGCATCTGGGCCTGGTAGACCTGCAGAATGGCCATGGCATGCAAAGAGGTGGCTGCCTGTCCCGCAGCTCTGTAGGACTTCGCCACTAACGTAGACGAGTACCTACAGGCTTTGGATGGGTGCTTTGGCTCACCACGAGACGAAGCGCTCTGAGGACACAGTTGCATCGCAACAGAGCGTTCGACCGGGGGAAGCCCAGTGTACCCACGGGCAGCGGCCTCATCGAGGGGAGGAAAGGCGGATGAAATCATCGAGCGGTCGCGGGAAGACATGGGAGTCTTCCAGGACTTCGAGATTTCATCATGCACGTCCGGGAAGAAAGGTATCGGGGCCTGACGGGGACGGGGATCCGCAGCCTGACCCAAATACCAATCATCCAGCCGCGAGCGCTCGGGGCAGGGCGGAGGGTTCCACTCTAACCCGATGCTCGCGGCGGCTCGAGACAGCATGGCCGTCATCTCTGGATCTGACTCTGGCACAACTGTAGTCACACCCGAAGGCGGCAGCTGTGATGAGTCTTCACTTCCAGCAGACTCAGACCCACCTTGTGATGCTGCAATAGACATGGCATCTTCCTCTGGAGCGCCAAAGGAAACCCGCGGGACACCCGAAGATGATCTCGCCGGAATCCCCTGAACACTCACGGGTTGCAGCATTGGAGAGGGTGCGGCTGGGCACGGACTGATAGTCGGCGCTTGGTTCCAAACCGTCACCCTCAGATCACCCTGGCCACCAGCCGAAGTACTAGCTCTATTTCTAGAGTCAGTAGATCGGGGTGTGGATGAGGGGACCCTCACTCTTGCGAGATCACCGAGTCTTGACCGTAATGCTGCGATGGTCATGTTCCCACAGAGAGAACATGAGTCATCCACGAGTGCTGCTCTAGCGTGATCAATGCCCAAACACACTATGCAGCACCCGTGCCCATCAGAGTCGTCAACCAGCCTACCGCAACCAGAAGTGCACGGGCGAGGCATCTTTAAAAAGACGTGCCACGTGCAAGCTCTTTTGTGAGAAAAAGAAACCTGATTGTGTTGAAGCGCTCGGGGAGAAACACACTCGCTGTCGAACCACAGACAGATAAGCAGGAAGTGCGCGCTCGCCGAAGATCGCCGTCACACCAACACCAGATAATCTTGCTCGTTTGAAGAACTGACAATTTCAGGAATGGCTTGTGGAACGAAGGATTAACTTGGCTCCAAAGCGAAAACATGCCGGTTTGCTGCCAGCGTTCTCCTTATATACTCACGAGGTGAGGCGGAGTTACGCTATGCAAATTCCGCAGACCCATGGCATTTCTTTGCCATTGGCTCGTTTTGAAGTATTTGAAGTTGATTGGCTTCTAAGCGAAACCCCCCCCCCCCCATTCGTCGTCATCCGACGGAACTCGGAGTGACAACGAAAGGGAACAGAGCAGTGTTGTTATTGTAACAAAAACTATTAAAAAATGTTTTTGCTAATTGAAATAAAGCTTAAATAAAATAAAATGTAAATATAACTTTGTGCTGCCTTTACAACTAACTGAAATAAGTTGAAGTACAATTTAAAAAAAATAAAATAAAATAAAAGCTAAAAAGGAACATTAAAGAAAGTAATAAAAATGAAACAAACTAAAACAAAAATTACAATGAAAACAAAAAATATAAAAATAAAAGCTAATTCAAAATAAAATAAAAATCTACAGATCGTACAGCATAAATACAAAAATATTATATAAATAATGCTAAAATGACACTGAAATATACTAAATAGCTACTTGGCTATTGGTTAGCCAAATTAATAACAAATAGTCTGCCTGGACTGGGTCACGTCAGTCATAAAGGAATGTCATTTCAGAGGCAAAGCAAGTTATTGATGATAAAAAAAAAAATGAAGTTGAGTTATGAGTAAATGTCTGAAATTAGTACATTTTTACTTCATGTTGACTTTAAAGTACAAACTAATTAGAGGATAATTTGTACCAAATAGCAAAAAGCAAATGTTTGTGCGTGTGCTAGACCAGGATAAATAATCCAGGTTCAGGTCCATCATTAGTAAATATTAATTAACAGTGGAAAAGGACCAGTGTGGTCTAGTGATCTAAACACTCATGGGTCTCCGAGTCAAACGGACCCATCACTGTTCAGACCACCAGCACGGTTCTGTTATAGTCAAGTGTCAATCCACATGTACGTTACACAGAGGTAACAAGAAATCAGGAATGTTTAACAGTGTGACACAAGACTACAGGAGGAAGATGATGGGTCACAAAAACACCAATTAGCCAAAACATGCGACTACGCCAACATACAGCTCGGGAAATGGGTGATTTTAATGTGCACTTGTGTGTGTGTGTGGTTTAGTGTGCTTGAAAGAGATGGATACACAGATAAAACAAGTGCCAATCCTCCTCAGAGTTATCATAGAAACTCATTCACATAAAGAAAGAAATGTTGAAGATCAGGCGTGTGGATTCATGCCATCAACAACAAACACATCTACAGGAAAACACCCAACTATAGAACCTGGAACACACGGAACACATCCACATTAGAACACCAAACACAAAGGAATCACATATGAGGTCACTAATGTTTCCAGAGGACCAGGAAGAGGAGGACACAGAGAGACTCATGGGATATGCAGTACCTTCAGTGAGGCACGAGAGTATGCTGGCACCCCGCTGTCGTATTTCCCTGAGATTATCCCACAGGCCAGCGGAGACCATGTCATCGCACCCACACCTGAGAAGACAGGTCGAAACCATTTTGAAACGGTACGTTTGTTGTTGTCTGTACGCTGTTTCTCTGGGCTCGACAGACAGCAGCATCACTGACCGATCTTATGGAAGAGTTCAGGAAGCTGCACCTCCACTTTCTCCCTCTGGAACATGTGATATTCTGATTGTTCGCAGATTGGTGGAATCTGGTTGAACTGTCGGGCCACAGAATATGCTTCCTACAAAACATGAGTCAAATGATAAGGTTAGTGTTCTGAAAGCATGAATGCAGTGCAAATAACCTCGTCATATAACAGAAAAAATATATTTTTCTCGTTCTTTTGTGTTAAGTGAGTTACAAAACTCAAACCTCCCTCCCCAGTCCACCCGGACCATTTATTGAAACTGAACTATAAAACATAAATTGTACGTTTTTAGTCTAAATTGAATGCAATGGGGGAGAAAAGCCCTCAAGGCGAGACACTACAGATGAATAGGGTAAAATTTTTAAATAATAGATATCACCATGAAATGTTCTCAGTTGATTACTTACACAAGTATATAAAAAAAAATGTATTACAAGTTTTTGAAATTTGTATGTTTAATTGTCCAAATTAGGCATTATCTCATTAAATATGCATTATTTTGCATATATTTTCGGTAGATAGATCTGAACATATGATAAAGCCAGGTGCAAAATTATTTTTTCATTTTGTTTACACACGAGATGAAAAAATTATTTCAGAGGGATTTCAGGATATATGCTTTCATTACCTAGGAAATAAAAATATACTGTCCATAGCCTTAGAGAATCAATTCTCGCCATATTTTTTTTATTAAAATGTCACATAAATCAGGCCAGGAATGATTTATAAACAAATCCCTCTGAAAATATCTTCAGAATACTGCTAAGTGTATAACTGGAAAGTTTGGTGTACATAGGTGCTACACAGGCTGAGATGTTTCTACTGGAGAATGGCAAAAAACTCATTTTGAGAAAACAGCATTTAAAGATTTGTAATGTAAAAATTCATACTTTTTTTAGTGGAAACAACTATTTACAGACACAATAATATTATCAAATCATTAGCAACAACAAAACAAACCACCTAAATCACATTACAACTTATAACACAGCATTTATGGCCTTCAACTGAACAGAAAAAGTGTCAAAAACACACATCTAAATGTCAGAGCACGTCACGTGATGCATCTGAACGAATCACGTTGTCAGAAATTGACATCAGCCAATGAGATTTCGGTTTTAGAGTTAAATGCTCATTGTACTTTCACGATTGGTGGCTGATAAAAAGGAAATGACCATATTTGGATCCGACAACAATGTGCGAGAGAGAGAGAGAGAGAGCGCTTTCCAACGGTGTGTGAGAGAGAGAGAGAGAGAGAGAGAGCGCTTTCCAACGGTGTGTGAGAGAGAGAGAGAGAGAGAGAGAGAGAGAGAGAGAGAGAGAGAGAGAGAGAGAGAGAGAGAGAGAGCTTTCCAATGGTGTATGCGATGACAGGGTGCAGATCGCGATCATGTTGATTTAGAACGACAACTATTTGTTGAATTTAGGAGAAATCTACAGACGCAAACAGACAAAGTGTAGTAAAATAAAGACCTAAATGTGTATTTTGGAAAAAATTTCACCACAAGTCTGAAAGAAGACATGTTATTGAAGACAAATAGCCCAAAATCTCAAAATTGGCCAGTGAAAAAAAAAACGATGTTTTTGCCTGTCTCGCCTTAAAGAAATAATACAAAGACAACAAATAGATATCAGGCATTTATAGTCTGAGTCATAAACAAATTACTCTTAACTTATGAGAAAGTTATTCGAATCCCATTCAAACATAAATGACTCTTATGAGCCAGGTCTATGAATCTGATTCACAAACAAAACACTTAATAGGCCCATAGTTCTTTGAATCTAATGTCTAAATAATTGTCAAGTCTTAACAGCCTGGACTTGACAAATCATAGACTACACTGGAAATTAATTAAGATTGAAAGAATCATGAATGATTTATTAATTCATTAACAAAATCACTAGAATCAAAAATAGAAGACCCATATTAATGCCATTGATCTGTAAGATACAGTAGCAAATGAAATTTTTAAAGTGACACCTCGCTCACATCTCTTGGTCTACTATCACAGTGGCACTTTATAACTTTATTCTCTCCATTTTTCTTTACTTCTAACCACTATTAGCAATCTCTTTTGTGGAAATGTTTTTATACTACATACATAACTATTTAACCATTTTATAAAATGTCAAAAAACTTTAAATTTAAAATAAAACCAAAAAAAATCTAATTTTTAAAGTAACAAAAACTACAGTATATAAAATAACACTGGACAGTGACTCGAGTTGACTGACGAGGCGTCACTGAACATGAACAGAGCGTCGTTTAACATCGTCACTGTGAAACTGTTGGTCTGACTCGTTGTGGTGCTATTTTAGGTCTCCGATACACCCTGTATGTAAGTTTAGACTACCTCACTGACAGCACCTATTTAAACAGAAGCATCTTTAGATTGAACAAGCGTTTAAAGAGCTCTTTTGAAAGGCTCTTCGGGAACAAAAGCAGTCGGTGGTGATGCTGATTACAGGGGTGTGAGCATCTAAAAGTTAGGAGACTGTGACTCACCATGATTTCCATCGGACTCCAGCGTGACGTGCCCCAGTACATCGCCATTCCCTGATTGATCACATGCGTCATCGCCCGCACCGTTTCTGCCAATCAGACGGCAGATTTTCAGAGATTTACCGCACAATACATCATGTCACGGTGCCATTAGAATGCGTCACTTTGGATGAACGTGTGAAATATTAACAAGAAAAAGAAAAGAAGCTCGATTAATGCAAGGTTGGGGAGTTAAAATGATAAATCGCTTCTTGAGCCTGGAGAATTTAATCAATATATGTGAGACAAAATAAACAACTCGTGCTTCGGGTCAATATGAATCTCGGCTCAAAGAAACAAAGCTTCGAATGAGGGCTGGGTACCTAATAACCCAGGCCAGCGATGGTCAAACATCAGTCTTATGAGCTAGACAGTCATTTACTGCTCTCGCTTGACTAAATGAGATCTGTCTGAAAGCGAGAGAAAGAAACTGACTACTGAATGTCGAGCTCTTTCATGACAAGAACAGCAGATGTCTGCAGACCCCCGAGCTGTTTGTGTTTCAACCATTGAACTGTGAACTTTCTAAAGGGCAACTAGGCTAATAAAAGAAGATCAAATAACATCTTTGTCTTGGTTATTAAAAGAGCAGCCACCCCTTCACCTTAAAACATTGGTTGAGATTTAATTTAGTTTGGCGACTTACAAACGGTTGCATTTTAAAAGTGAGCACCACAAAGTAGCATCTAATTTTGTATAAACTTGGATATACAATTAAAAATAAAGGTTGCAAAAGGGTTTTTTCCACACAGAAAAAAAAAAAAATCCTTTCATTGACCAGTTCTTAAAAAGAACGTTTGTGGAATGGAAAGGTTTTATGGATGGAACCACAGATGCCAATAAAAAAACCTTTATTTTTAATATTGTAATCACCTCTCCTCAAAAAGACACATGATTTGAGGAATCAATTATATCTGGAACACAAACAGTAGAACAAATGAATTGAGATTGAGATGTACCTTCCATGGGTGTGTTGGGGTCTGGTCTGTTTGCAAACACTACATCCACATATTCTAACTGCAATCTCTCCAATGATGCCTTTAAACCTACAGAAGAGTCACTCAAATCAATCCAGCACACAATTAAACCAGTTCTGCCAACTACTGCTAATGCATATGATTTGTGGTCTACTCACCTTCTATAATGTGTTTTCTTGACAGTCCTCTCTCTGTCTCTGCTCTAGAAAACAACAGGATATGTACTGTTATGCAATTATCATTGATGCCATCTTTAGTAAATTATATTAAAAAGACATTACTTGGTTTGATATTAGAACTGAGGACATGATATTTTATTCAATGCAAAATATAACACTCTATTTCAAAGATTTAAGTGTTGTTTACCGAAACTAATAGAGGTACATTACCCATTTAATCAAGAATTCATAAGTGAAAATTATAACTCCTGAACTTCAAAGTTTCAAAAGTATTATTTGTATCATACTAGAGCTGCACGATTGATCATTAAAAGATCACGATCTCGATTAAAAACCCAACAATTTCATTCCTAAATAACTATGATTCGCCTGTGTCTATTAAACCTTTGACAAAATCACAACAGAACATTAAAATCTGCGTTGCCGTTACCGCAGAGAAAGCGGTTATCATGTTTAGGAAACGGCTTCACAAACGGTCACACAGTATCAATATTTCTGTTACAAATATTCAAATTATCACAGAAGTACTGGGATAAAAGTTTATAGTTCAGATATAAACACTGATGTCTATGGAAGCGATCATAATAGAGCAAATCACTGCTTCACTAGGTGAAGTTCCACCACTAGGTGGCAACAAGTTACTAATAAAAAAATGGTTTGTCATTGAATAATTCAGCCAAGAGATTTGTTCAAAAATGCTGATTCATGCAGTAATGAAACAAGTGAAGTCTTTATGAGGGAGTCATTGAATCAATCATTCAAACCGATTTTCTTAAAAAAATTAATTCACATTTATTTAACATTTTTAAATAGACTGCAGCAATTAACATTTTGTCAGAACCAATGGTAGATTACATGTTATCTTGTTTAGTTGTTTGTTCAGAATCGTGGGAGAATCGTGATCTCTGTTTGAAATAAAAAAATCTTGATTCTCAATTTAACCAGAATCATGCAGCTCTATATCATACCATTATTCATTTTATAATAAATAATAAATATACATACTTTCCACCCCAAAATATTTTGGTTGTAATGACTAAACTGGAGCGTCTGCAAAAAAGAAAAAGGACAATTATTTTAAATTAGGTCACACTTTTTGAAAGGCTTTTAGGAAGCAACTAAGAAGTTGCAAATAATTACAACTGAGTAACAATTTTTATTTCAAAGGAATGAATGTACATACAAACACACACACGTTTACTTGGCTGTGTAAATACGGACATGCAACAGACATCTACTGGTTTTATGTAAAGCTGCATTTATATATGAAATGCATTATATATATATATATATATAGGTAGTTCTATCAGATTTATCTCACTTCCACTCACAAACTATAACCAAGAAACCCCCCCCCCCCCCCCCACACACACACACACGCTATGTGAGGGGTTGTGTGCCCTGATATTGATGCACACTGACTAGCAGGATGACTAAGCATCACAACCACGCACACACACACACTCTCTCTTTCCAGCAGAGAGCTCAGTTACGCTTCATCTCATTATGCAGAAACAGTGAGAGCCCACCCTGCTTTAAATTAAAACATCTTAATAAGGGCTTCTATTAACCATGAACTTCCTACATTACACAAACATACATCAGGACATCAACTGCACAACAAACAAACACACACACAACTGCTCTATAATTCAATATCTAGATGGGACATAGCACCAGGCTACAGGGCTTTAATAATTTATGCTTTTGCCTGTCTTGGGTTGCGGTGGCACAATCTCTGAGGCACTGGGCCGAGTTATCAGCACAAGATAAGAGACGGCCGAAGGAAATGAAAAGCTGTATGCTGTTAATGAACATACCTCCATCCTTTCTTCTTTATGATGTTGCCAAGCACCATCTCCGCCCTGCAACAGAAAACCAGATGGTTATCGGACTAATCCGTCATCTTATTGACATCTACAGCCAACAAAACAGGCCACTGAAGGGACATTTCAAAGGGCTGTAAATCACCTCTTCTATGACAGCAATATTATACAATTCATGCAAATTAAAAACCACACTTCAATGCCAAAAGACTCCACCAATATTTTTTATGAAAACATACCAGGTATTTTCATATTGAGGGTGGTTCCTTGCCATAACCCAGGAATAAAAACTAGGGCTTGATGATGACACAAATTTCATGATTCAATTTGATTTGATTCAAATTAGGGATGTCCCGATCCGATCACGCGATCGGAAATCGGGCCCGATCACGTGGTTTCAGACTCGATCGGAATCGGACGTTACCTCCCGATTAGGACTCGGATATATGTAAATTAGGGGTGTAACGTATATGTATTCGTAATTATTGAACCGTTTCGGTACGAGGCTTCCGGTTCGGTACGCATACAAACCGAACGATTCCTTGGACCATTTTTCCTGCCGACAAAATTCGCGCTGGCGCGATCACCACAACGTTGCGCAACATCAAATGGCAAACGTAATGAAAGCGGAACGAAACTGCGCTACTTATTATATTGTGCTTAACTGACCATTTATCAGTTCGGACCAGCAACATCTGTGCAGCACGAGATCAAGTGACAGCGCTAAGAGATCCAGTGAAGAAAACATTTGAATTCGCCACTGAAGTAGTAACATTGCTGCGAGATCTAGTGAGAAGCATTCACATTTCTCTGTTATTAACCGCAGATCTCTATTAGATCAAACAGCGCTGACGTGGGAACCAGGAGAAACATTGTGCCGTGAATGAACATGGATTTAATGTTGCACTTCAAAACTCAAATATTATATAAATATATATTTAAATGTTATTTTTAATGTGATTACCAAAACATTATTTGTTCATCTTTCAAAGATTACCCCCATGTATAAACCTGAAAGTTTCAAGATGTAGGAAAACTCACACTTATTTAAAAATAGTTTTTCTTTTAATAAATAGGAAATTTCTCTGGCATTTCTTTCTTTTTTGCTGTATCGTATCAAACCGAACCGCAAATTTTGTGAACTGTTACACCCCTAATGTATATATATATTCTCATTTTTTTATACACTTTTAAAACATTTTTATTTTTTGTTTACATGCCTGCCGGGTATTTTAAGTTGAGGTGCTATTTGTTTTTATATTAGACTTTTTCTATATTTACTGTTGCACTAAAGTCCAAAAGTGAAGATTTTATGTTATTTATTACTTGATTGTTCAAGCTACCTCACAGAAGTGCTCTATTTGTTAACAGAGTTGTTGAATGTTAAAATAAGGTGAATTAAATAAAAAATAAGGAACATCCTGGATCTGTTTTTTTCTCAATTCTTTTTTTATGTATTATATAAGTATCGGATCGGGACTCGGTATCGGCAGATACTCAAAATCAAATGACTCGGAGGCAAAAAAACCTGATCGGGACATCCCTAATTCAAATCACAAGCTTGCGAGTAGGTTTAATTCTGATCTCGATTCAATTCAATTCAATATTGATTCATTTTGATATATATATCAGGTACAGGACATGTAAATCTTTCAAGGAAAAAAATATCTTTCAACTAATGCTCCACTCTAGAGTTTATTTATCTAGCTATCGATAGTGCCCTGATGAAAACAGCTGTATAATAAATATCCATTATGTTCCCTCTGGCTTTGATTGTCATGTCATGCATCAATTTGCATTCAGCGTGGACAGGCACAATGTTGAAAACGATGCTCCTGGTTAGAACACACTGTGAACCTCAGACAGCACATTCATGGATTATTCATGGACTGTCTGATCCTTATCACACACAAAAAAGAATGACGAGAGTTTTCTTAAAACAGCAGGTGTGGCTGGCTTTACACAATTTCTGAAAGTCTGGGTGCTCAATGACTTTTGGTTGCTTTGTAACGCATGCATTGGTTAAATCTGAGGCTGCGCAAGGCTAGCATCTCCAGTTACAGTTGGAGAGAGTGCAGACATTAAGCGATAAGGCATGTGAATGAGTAATTAACAAACACCTGGGTGCTAAGAGCATCTTTAACTCCCTGAGAAGTGTGCCTACCGTACTTTATATTTGCAGACAGGGAGGAGTGTCAGTAACAGGCTGGAGACTAAAAGGCTCTCTGGCAGCCATTAGTGGAGCTGAAGGTGCTAATTGAGCCCAATGAGGATACAGATCGGGTTGTGATTTTCCCCGGTGAGTGAGATCTCTCCCAGGCCAAACACTAGTCAATGAACCGTTGTTCTGCAATTCAGTCAACGCTCCAAGACGCCACAAATCCCACTGCTTTACTATTAATCTCTCTTAAAAATCCTTCTGGAATCTTGTTTTTCCTTTCAAATGTTTGATGTTATGGGAAGACTATTAAAGGAATATTTTTAAAAGACCACTTTAGTGCTTCTCTTTGCCATATAGTGAAAGTGAATGAAGCAAGATGCTGTCACGCTCCAAAAACAACTAATGTTACAATATACATCCCCTAACTACCAACCCTTAAACAATAAAGTTGGGGGAAAATGTTTTCATTCACTGAAATAAATTTGACGTAAAATGACAAAATAAATATTAAAACAATTTAAACCAAAATTAGAAATGTTAACTTGGCAACTAATTGAAATAAAATAAGTTGAAGTACTAAAATCACTAAAACTGAAATAGATGTAAATTAAAATTATATAGAAATGTTTTTAAAAAATAATAATAAAATGATTAAAAGCACACAAAAAAATTACTAAAACAAACTAAAAATTAAAGTGAAATATATAAAAATAAAAGCCAATTCAAAATATGAATAAACACTATAATAGTATTTTAAAAAACAATAAAATAACACTTTCATCAGGTTAACCAACATCTCCATTTTTTTCCTTATGGACAAACAGCTCTAAACGTAAATATAAAATATGCATGTTTTTCATTGCACATAAGGAATGGTCATTATCATAAAATAAACCCAAGCACAACCAACATTAAGCAAACCTGCTCACTGTAAATAATCCATCTTATACTGTATATGTATGGCTGTGTGCATATAAATAAAGAAATGAGGCAATATTATAAAAAATATCTGATCACAGAAAGGCTGTGACTGACCATTCAGAATCAAGCATTCCAGAGTTGTGTAGTCAGTCGATCAAAAAGATGGATGAACATTGATTCAGTGTTTCAAACTGATCCAGGCTTTACATGAAAACAGAAAGCTGTTGAATAGCAAGCTGTGGTGCTTTGATTTAGTGGTCATTAGCTGAAAAGAGCGGTTCATTAATCCACATGAACGTACGGGCCACCGCTACACCGCACTTCAAAAGGAGGTTCCTGAGACGGCAGAAAGCTGTGAATGTGAGCTGCTCATCTTCATGAGGATATCTGAATATGAATGCTAGTATTCTTGTGTAAGCATGTCGAGCAGAGATGGACACAGATGCGTGAGGGGGCGACTCTGCCTGTGTTTTTGTTTGCTTATGTGCGAGGGAGAGAAAGACAGAGAGAGAGGTGACAGAAGCTGATGTGTGCACATGCTAGGGCAGATACACCCGCGTGTGCCAGCACATGTGTGTGTATTTGCAGGTGTAAGCATTTTGGTGAGATATATTTAAGCAGGGGTGTTTGTCCCGTTACGGCACGTGGGTTTAACACACTGCATTGACCGCAGCTGTATGGTAGATGCTGCCAGAGCCGTGTTTATTCCAAACGGATAAATAAAGCAGACCTTCCCACTCATCTCACCCCATCAGTGATGCCCACGCCTAGCACTGAGCTAATGACAGCGCACATTACCAACTGCTATCCTCACCTAATTTGCACAGTTTATTTATGAAACATCATGTGTCAGGAAACTTTTCTTGTTTAGAGGAAGGAAAATGTGTGCGTTCTAATATGGATTCACAGCACTGTAGGGAATAACAGCTGAAATTAACCCATTGATTTACATGCGCGTTACTGTCAGGATACAAATCTCTCAAATTGGAAATACACTGTATCTCAGCAGCAGGGTCCAAAATTAAGACAAAAATTACCATCAGATGCTAACCTAGGATCCCTAACATTTAGGGAACTTTCTTTGATGAAGCCGCCAAACTAAAACTTAAAAAAAACAATATTTAGGACAACGTATATATATATATATATATATATATAGTACATTTAATAAAAATACTATTGTAATGTAATAATATTCTATTATTTATATATATAATTAAATGCGAGAGATAGTGTTTTAACTTTGTAAAATGGGGCTCTGGACCTACACATAAATGAAAAATAAAAACAGAAAAGTAAACATTTAAGGATTTTATACTCTTATTTTTGGGTCACTACATCTTTTTCCTCATTCCCTACTGACATATATGTTGCTCATAGTATCAGTTTAGGTCAGGTAATCGTATTCATTGTCATAATCCCACTGATTATTGTGCTTTATCTTGCTCACAGCTGATAAATCTCACTTGTTTGAAACATTAAGAGATGCTATCATTTCAAGATCCAACTAAAAGTAATAATCAAGTCTGAAAACTGTGATATTCGACATAAAAATGAATGCACATGACAGTTTAGAGCCCTTCCCTGATCTAGTGGCTTTGTACTGAGTCTTTATGACAAGTTCAACACAAACTCCCACGCAAGACACAGACGAGGAACACCATTTCCAATGATGCCCTGAGTCAGCTGCCATTTGAATGTTCATTCCCCTTTTGAAATGACCCCTAGTTTTAAAGAAAACTTGAAGAGAGTTCATGCTAAAAGAATCAAATGAACTTATAAAACTGACAACTAGCTTTGACATTTTCTAAAGAGCAGCACCAGCACCACAATCCTACAGTGCTGTGAATAGTTGCTATGGCGTGCCAAATATGAGCAAACGCTGCCAACATTTGAAATAAAAATTACTCAAAGGTGGTCTGCAAATGTTATTTAACCTTCTTCAAATATTACATTACTTAAAGGGGACGTATAATGCTATTTCATGCATTCAGACTTACTTACACGGTTAAAGTGTTGGATTCTCATGCAAAAAATGGCCAAAGTAAAAACAAAACAAAAAAAACAACAAGTTGGACGTATGACGGAGTATTTCTGTGCCAAATACACTTCTTCAGGGTTTGTATAAGTTTCGGAAAGTTTTTTTCCCGAGTTTGGCCCTGTATGACGTCATAAAGGGCAAATTACCTTGTATGGGCACTTCTCCTGGAAGAGCACATGCACACATCAACCAGAGCGAGAGCAAGAGCAAAGCCCATCAACGTGCTTTATCTGGGTTACGGAAGTCGTCGGCAGCGCAGGACTTGCTCGAGAAAGATGTCATTTTGTTTTTAGACCACGAAATCAACAATGTCACCAAAAGAAGTGTGTTTTTGGTTGTGAGGGAAAGATAACCTTGTTCATCTTCTCCAAAAACTCAGCGTAAGGGAACAGTGGATGCAGTTTGTTTTTCCGGGGCAGCAACGGAGTTGTGCAAGTGTGTTTGTTTGTTCCCGGCATTTCGGTGACGAATGTTTTATAAACAAGGCCCAGTTCGACGCTGGATTTGCAGATCGTTTGAAACTGTAAGATGGAGAGGTCCCAGCGATAAAAGATCCCGGTCATCGGAACCGCAGCCGGTGAGTGAAACTGCATGAAATGTCTGTGTTTCGTTGGCAATCAGCGCGTAAGCTCTTTAGCTCCGCCCACGGCCCGCCTCCAGGAGCTCGACTGTTTCCGGAAAGAATTGGTACAGAGTATCTGTCTTTTATAAATCTGATAAAACTAAAGACTCTTCGGAGATATGAAGGATGCAATACTACTTTATATGTACTCAAGGTTAACATGAGATTGACAGAAACTGTGTGTTATGTGCCCTTTAATAACTACACAAGATAAACAAAAAGAACATATTTCAGCACATGGCAAAACTACAGTCTACACATATTAATTTGATAGGGTGAGCTGTGTGTTCATTTTGGCGCACTCACTTTCCAGCAGCGTAGACCTCTGCCGTGTCGAACAGATTGATCCCGTTCTCATACGCCAGAGTCATCAGCTGCTCTGCCATCTGCCAGAAGGATTGAAGAGAGAGGAATACAGTTTTCAAGGTGTTGCAGTCTAATCAATTATTTAAAGCTGTATTCTGCATTGTGCCAGTCTATAAGTCATCTTTAATATGTTTAAGTACATTTACAGTATATGCTGAAAATAAAACACTACTGCATGCTAAATAGTGCATAAGCAGACAAAAAAATAACATCTATTATTAAATATTTAATATCAAAGCACTAAAACATTTTGATACATCCACCAAATAGTTTTGCAATAAGTTCAGTTGAACCGTGGTTCATGGAAGAATATTATGCAATTACATTTGTTTTTTCTTACACAGAATCTTAATCTGGGAATATACACCATTAAATTGTGCATTTAATAACTTTTTTTACTTTATGACTTTGTGTTATTTAAGATATCTGAGGTTTTTTTTTTTCAGCCTTAAATTTAAAAAGGAAAATTTAGGATGTTTTCATACATTTTAAGGATCCACAGACATTGTGTTTAAGGTTTAATTTACCTAAAAAAAGAAAGATTTTCATCATTTTACCAACCATCATTATTTCTGATTCTAAACCAGTATATTTTTCTTCCATATTTATTTAAAAACATTCAAATGCATTGTGCTGCAGTCATGAGACAGATTATTTTTGACATCAATGGTAACAAACTTGGTGCAAAGCGCCTTGAGGTGCCATGTTTGAATGACCACAAGCTTAAATGAGATTTGAGAGCTGATTTTTACTCAATCTGTTTCTCACATACTTCAAAATATTTGGAATATAGCACATGAATCTTATGGACTACCTTGATAATGTTCAAGGTTTAACAATATTAAATGGCATTGTGTTCCATGAAATAAATAAAAATAAAATAAATAAATATGGTTTAGTTTGGAAAAATATGAGGGTGAGCATTTTTGGGTGAAGTTTCACTGTAAGTGTTCTCACAAGAACATAAAAGTTCACATCAGGGCTCATCATACCTCATCTGTGATCTGTCCTCCAAACGTCACCCATGTTCCTGTAAAGAGATCTGGAATCAGTCACTGCTTTTCACAAGATAAACAAGGGTTAAATGATTATCAGTGATCCACCAATGACACTGAAGAGTAAAGCCTTAAGATGAAGCTACAGATAACATGGATAATCTGCTGAAGAGAACAGAAAAACACTGGCTGGATGGCTGTCTACCACTAATAGCATCTGGTCGTTTAAAAAAAAAAAAAAAAAAAAAAAATCATCTTGTGGAAAAGAAACTACAAAAGCTTGTATTATTTGCTGCAGGTTTCTTTATCTACTTTATTATAGGCCTTGATCAAGAAGCCGTAAACTCACCTAATCCAAGACACGAGACTCTCAGGCCAGACTTCCCCAAGTTTCTGGAAAAAAGGAAATAAAGACGATGATTAATAGGTTTTAACCTGCTTTCTTTATCACTTTGTTCAATCTAGAAGTCAGCGTCAGATCATTGCAGTACTAAATGAGACTGTCAGCTTTGGCCGTCTCAACCTAATAAAAAAGAAAAAAGAAAAAAAAAAAGCCCCGTTCCAAAACCTTGCGATCTGCCTATCAATACTGCATATTTCAACCAAAAAGGTTTGTTCCCAAAGCCAGACTTATGGTGCCTCTTTTGTACAAAATCTAAGGGAGCACTGCATGTATGTTTCACAGAGAATGCACAGTGACAAGTCAAAAGATATTATATAATTATAATTCAGATTTTTGATTACAAATATAATGAAATAATTGAAATATAAAAATGTGTTAATATAAATATAAATAAATCAATTATATATATATATATATATATATATATAAAAAAAGGATTTCTAAAAAAAATAGTATACAATATTTTACCCAACATTTGCTACATGTTTATTAGCTCAGAGTTTCACAACATTCTAAACTCGAACTCTATTGGAATCAATTGTGAGTCAAGCTCCTGCACGGTTGAGATGTGGCCCATGTATCATGTATGCTATGACAGCAAGGTTTTAGAGCTACTGTCTCCATCAAACCAGAAAAGCACTGAGAAGGATTGAGTTCTCAATGGCCACAGCCTGAGCCCTGTAGATGCCACTGGAGCTGCCAGAGGTGCATATCGAGTTTGTAATGGCGCTTTTCCACTGCGTGGTACGACTCGGCTCGGTTTGCTTTTCCACTGCAGTTAGTACCGCTTCAAAGTGTGTGGGATTATAGTCTGACCGTTATAGTTTATCCGCTCCTCGACAACCAACGAGAGGAACGTCTGCACTTCGTCCACTGACCACGATTCAGCCATTTATTTTTTGGAAGTTTTCTTTCTTTCTTTTTTCTTCAAGCAAGTAGTTTTAAAACAGGTGCTACAGCGGCGGCTGTTACTGGCTATTTAAATCTAGCGGGTTTGATGTCTCGCAAATACAATGACGCTGGTAGTGACGATTCTGTCTGACCAATCAGTGATCTGCAGTGTGTTCACGTCACATTTTAGTATCGGTACGGTACGCTTGGAACCTCAACAGAGTTGGTACCATTTAAAGCGAGCCGAAGCGAGCCGCACCATGCAGTGGAAAAGCGCCACAAGTGAGCCGTACCGAGCCGAGCCGAACCGTAGCATGCAGTGGAAAAGCGCCATAAGTCTTTCTGCTGATTGGTACATCATGGGAAAATGACACTTAGCAGTGCCTGAGGGCAGATTACTGAGCCCAGGGGCTTCTGGGAGTGAGGAAGAGTATGGAGCTATAATGAAGAGAACTGGCTAAAGGAAGGCTCACCAGCCCAGAGTCACAGAGCCACAAGAGAGAGGTTTACCGTCCTCTGAAAGAGTCCAGAGGTGCTGCAGGTCTCACACGGCAGGAATTTAGACTCAACTTTCTTTTGTTTACTTTATTTAACTTATTTAAGCCTTTATGTTGTTTTAGCTTTCCTAATTTTTTCCCCTACAACAAATGTCAAATTGAGAGATATAACTCAGCCTTAAGTGTGTAGTGTCTGCACACAAGCATGTACATGAATACAGAAGTGTGTAACTGGGATTATAGATGATATTTCAAGCTGTCTGAGTGTAGGAGTGCAAGGCATGTATGTGCGTGTTTCTGTAAGAGTGTGTGGGGTTTTTGTGTGTGTTTGAGTGGGGGTGTCTATGCTGGATTAGAAACATGTAGGTGTCCGGTGGCAGAATTCAATGAAAGACAGACCGCAGAAGGCAACACATTGCATTGGATCTGAAAAGTAACCTGCAGATCGGACATTTCTTTTCATGAGATCCTATTCATAGAAGCATTTGCTGGGAACTTTATTATGGCTGGCAATTTCTCCAGGCACCTCAGCACAAAAGTTCAAATAGAAATGTTTGGTACATTTTTAAGCACGGTTTCCTGTAGATATGTAGGAATCTTGAAGTTAATAAGCAAATGTCTTTATCTGCCAGGCATAATGCACTCGGAGAAAAAGAATGAGGATCTGTTCGTAACTTTTTAATTAGACCTTGTGGTGAGACAGATTGTACTGTGTTTGGCAGAACATATGCAACATGGTTCAGATAATTCAGTGTAAATACCTCTTGTGTATTATTCTGCCGCTGTATAGCACAGTCAGACAAAATATCTTAAATATGAAGAGTGTCAATTCTGAACCATACAGTCATCAGACAGAATTGCAAAAACCATTATTCTTGTCGGCTGCCCCCAAACCTGGTTGAGCCAATGTTGCTGTGTGGAGTTAAGGTACTCTGAGCAGTGTCTTTATAGCATCACAGAGCCACAGTGTTCACACGGTTTGGGGAATTCAACCAAATAGCTGAATATTAATCTGGGACAGAAAAAACAACAACAACAACAACATCGCCTCTAAAGGGTCATGAAACACACACACACACACACACACTAGACAATAAAATATATGCATGTGTTGTACATGACGGAAGACAATGTTAGATTACACTGTTTTATTTATAAGTGGAAAACTGCTGACTTTTTGAGGGGTTTGAAATCAATATCAAGTGGAATAACAGTTTTAAAAGTTATTAAAAATGCAAAAGCAAATGTATGGCATTTATTTGTGCATTGAATTACAGATATTTGTGTAATGTACAGTGAGCTAACAAAATGTGTGCATTTTGTTGCATGCAATTATACATTGCAGAGTGCATTTGTGAACCTCTGATACATTGTTAACTCCTTTATAGGTAAAATAAAACTGACTGGATCAGACACAGTTGTCGTTTTCTCTTCTTCTCTGCACTCCACAGCTTTCCACATCTACTTTTTCAATATTTCAAATCAGTCATGAGGATTGATCTGTGCTGAAATAAAAGTGCCACGAAACCTTACAAAGAAATTTCTTTTGGAGCGATACACTTTTTATTTGTAATAACAAAAGTGATACATAATAACAGTACTTATTTTTTTTCCCGTCAATGTACTTTCAATAATGATCGTAATGGAAATGACTCTGTTGCTATGGTTACCTTCTAAGGCGAATTCGACTTGTTTGAGAGCATCTATTTGGTGAATATAAACATTTTGAATAACTTGCAATATGCAAGTTTTAAGTCCCTCAAAACTTCTTTCCGAACTCCCTACAATTTGCACCCTGTTGAGGTGTTTCATCCCACACACACACACAAAAATATATAATTGTGTCTTTGCATGATAGCCATTCAATAAATGATTACACTGTTTGGTGATTGAGTTGTGCAAAACATGAAAACAGGCACTTGCCAAAGACTTCTCAACTCAAGCTGACAAAAATGAGCCTGAAGAGTGTATTATTCTCATTATACGCAGCAAATACCACCCAGTAGGAAACAAACAATATGCCACAGATAAATTCCAAAGCTGTTTATGATTCATTCATTGGTTGTGCCCCTGCTGATAATATGTACAGTGAATAAGATCTGAGATATGGAGATCGGGCGAGGGCTTCTTTCGTGGTTTGATGTTTGTGACATCAAACAAAGTATCCCTAACATGATTAGTACAGATTAAACTGGAACTCTACTGCTGTCAACACCAATAAACAAATGACTGAAGCTATGTAACTGTGTCAAGGCAGCTCAAATAATAAGCACATCCAGTTAAAAGAGCCTGGACTGAAGGCACGAGTAAATCGAAAGACAATCTGGTGTTTTCAGGGCCAGTAAACTCTTACTGTTTCCTTGTTGTCAGTGTTGTGTTGTGTTGAATATTTCACAGGCTGGATCTGAATACTGCATGATGGACAGTTGCCCAGTCACAACTGGACCCAGGTGCAGCGCTGGAGATTGGGTTTGCCAGGAGTTAGCAGAGATCAAGCCAGAGGTCAATAAATGTTACCTGTATCTTTTAGTCAGGTTAACGATATGCAGAGAACACGGGCGGTCAGGTTTGTTTACGAAGCAGAGGGAGTTCAACTTTTCAGAGTTCAGATGACTTCGGTCTCTGTAGGATTGTGACTGCCACCACCTGCTTCAGTCAGCTTCTGAACTCAAAACATCAGGACATCTCACTCTAAAAGTAGAACATGATTTGTCAAAACAGGGTTTTATTTACAAAGTTGTAAATAAAACAGATTATTGCAGTACATTTTACAAGAAAATACTATTTCAGTCTTTCCACTTAATTTCACATTTAATTTAATGTGCTACTTGCTGTTTCTTTGTCATTTAAACAAAAACAATACTAGCAATTACTGAGTGAAAATTGTTTCTGCACCAATTTTTTTCCCAGCACACATTTGTCAGGCATTAAAGAAACAAGTCACCCAAAAAAAAAAAAAAATTCTGTCATAATTTACTCACCCTCATGTCTTTCTAAATGGCAGAAATGCTATTGGTTCCAATTGTCATTGACATGAAACCCTTGGTGCAAAATGTATTGACGTGCCATGTTTAAAATAAAGACATTGCATGGCTTCAAAAGACTTGAAATACAGTGCACAAGTCATATGGCCTACTTTTTTTTATGCCAAAGGGTGAATAAATGATGACAATGTTAATTTTTAGGTGAACTATTCCTTTAAGGCAAATGCATTTCACATGACCAAATGGTCCTCAAAGAAAATGAGAGAATTGTTTGAAGTAGTGCACAAGCTTTGCTGTTACTGTATGAGTTATTATGGCAGGCAAAGGCTAAAAGGTCATGGAAGACAGAAGACATTTGAAGGAATCTACACTCAGTGGGGAATATGTTGAATTCTATGCACACCGTTCTTTCATCCGTGCACAATACTCTGATGGTTGCCTCGTGCGGATTTGTTCGATGAAATTTGTGTTTATGTAAGAGCAATTCAGACTGTGAGCAAGCCTCCTACACCCTGTGCTAAAAGCAGTAGCTCTACCTGAGAACGGCTTCAGCTCTCGTCAGAAAGTTCCATCTCAAAACCCACAGCTTTCCCTCTTCTCCACCACCACCATCCCTTT